TCAGCCTCCTAGTTCACGCAAACAGTATTTATGAGCAATAGCTTAAGGAAACCCTACTGTTGGTACTGGAGGACCATCTGTTATTTTGAGAATCAGGCAGTGTGTGTGTGTGTGTAAATTTAAGAAGACCTCTGCTGGTCAACTTAAAGCACCATCCAGTTTGGTACAGTGGTACCTCGGGTTACAGACACTTCAGGTTACAGACGCTTCAGGTTACAGACGCTTCAGGTTACAGACTCCACTAACCCAGAAATAAGACCTCAGGTTAAGAACTTTGCTTCAGGATGAGAACAAAAATCGTGCTCCGGCGGCGCAGCAGCAGCGGGAGGCCCCGTTAGCTAAAGTGGTTCTTCAGGTTAAGAACAGTTTCAGGTTAAGAATGGACCTCGAGACGAATTAAGTACTTAACCCGAGGTACCACTGTATTCAAGTTCCCATAGTGCCTCCAGTAAGCCCGCAAGGAAGGGATGAAGGGGCATGGAACAGCTAGGCAGGTTTCAGCACCAAGGACAGCTCCTAGCAAGGCACTTGCTCCCAGGGTTGGAAGTGAACTGATGACAGTGGTACTGGAACACTGATGTCAAACCACAGATCCATCTTGTTTACTCCTGTCAAAACAAGGGGTGGGTGACTTCACCCCCAAGGGACTGAATGTGGCCCTCCAGGACTTTCTATCTGGCCTTTGGGACTCTCAGAAGCCCACATCCTTACTGGCCCTGCTGTGCACCCAGACTTTTTTTGCCTACTTGGAATGTGCCCTTGATAAGAGCTCTTGCTTGTCTGGATGGAGAAATGTGTGTGTGTGGAAATTAGCTTACTGTACAAATGGAAAATTGCACCAAATATGCTTGCCTCTTGCCCCACCCAACACTGCCATGTGGCCACCAGAAGGTTAGTCAGATGGAAATGTAACCCTTGAGCTGAAAAGGTTTTGCTACCCCTGATCCATACAGTCTGGCAGAAGGTTTCAGACAGGAGTCTCTATCCCAGTTGTATGCAGATTAAACCTGGGATCTTTTGCATGCAAAGCAAGTGCTCTACCAGTGAGCCACATCTCTTCCCTGACTGTAGTGTCTGAGTTAGTGTCCCGGTCACTGCTAGATGCTAAGTTAATGACAAGCATCCTATAAGCAGAAATAAATACATGGCATTTTCTGAATGGTTAGTTGACATATTAGTTTGCATCCCAGGCTAAGTTGTTCTTTATTGTTGCTGTTGTTTATCTCGCTTTTCTGTTAGAAGCCGTCAAAGCAGCTTGTGAAGGGGAAAAACAATACAATCAAAAAGATAGAAGGAAAACCAGACAGCCAATAAATAAATAAATAGGTGAGTAACAGAACCACATGAAAATCACATCTCAAACTAAAAGCGGCTGTCTATAAATGCAGCACAACGGTAAACATTAATGCATATATCCAGTGCAGAATTAAAGGTGCTGAAGGTTCCAAGTATATGTAGCACTTGCAATCACATCTTTGGGTTTCCTTTCTCTGATTGCTTTATAAATGTGTGTATCATAGTTATTGTTGGGTGATTGCGGCAAGAGAGGCTTAAACCCCTCCACGTACAATGACCCATATAAAAAAAACCCCACCCCACACATCTGTGATTAAATGAAGCAAAACTGATGGCAGGCTTGCAAGCAGAACAGTCACTGAAGCTCATAGGCCAGGCACCCACTGAGACATTTCAAGTTATTTATTACACTTATATGCCAACTTCTTCCGCAGAAAGCAAGGTGGCATACAAAGCTTTCTCCTCTACCCCAGCTCTCACTTTTACCCTCACAATACTCATGACTTGGCCATGGTAGTTCATGCTTTGGTAACTTCCAGATGGGCTTATTGCATTGCATTCCACATGGGGATGCCCTCAAAGACAACTTGGAATCTTCAGCTGATCCAAAATGCAGAGGTCAGGTTATTGACTAGGGTTTCATTTAGATCTCATGTAAACTCTGTTTTAAAACAGCTACATTGATTGCCTGTTCATTCATGGGCGCAATTCAAAGTTGTCATGCTCAGGTTTAAAGCCCTAATCCAGGCATGGCCAAATTCAGCCCTCCAGATGTTTTGGAACTACAACTCCCATCATCCCTAGCTAGCAGGACCAGTAGTCAAGGATGATGGAAATTGTAGTCCCAAAACATCTGGAGGGCCAAGTTTGGCCATGCCTGCCCTAATCAAAATAGGGCCCAAATATCTGAAAGGCTTCCTTCTTGTCTACTGACATTTGTGGGTGTTAAGGTTAGCAGGGGGGAACCTCTTGGTAGTCCCTCGTCCCTCAAAAGCTTAGGTGGCAATGGCCCAGGAGAGGGCCCTAAGTTGTGTAATTCCCTCCCCACAGAGCTGCATCTGACAACTTCCTTATACAGCTTTCTTCATATACTGAAGATGCACTGAATAGCCAAAGATCATCTGCTGAGGTTTATGACTGTGTGGGGATTTTAACCTTCACTTCCCAAGCCCTAGTGTCTGACACTCTATCCACTACAACATGTTGCCTTTCGATTTTTCCTTCTCTCGCCAGACTATCCAAATCACGTTACCTACAACCATCACCTTGAATTGCCTTGACCTTCTTATCTTCCTTTTCCTGCCCTCCCACTCACTCCAATCCCATGCTTAGTGAATAAATTATAGAGACATATGCTTGCATTACCATAAAGCCAGGAGCTGTGGGAAAATGTGGTGAATTCCCCCACCACTGCTCAACTCTCTAGAGTGATACATACATAGAAATTCTTGATTAAAGAAGATAAGATAGAGTGAAGGAGTGATGGGAGCGATTGTTGAGTCTAAAATTAGGAGCAGAGCTAAACCATCAGCTGAACATCAAATTGAAATCCATATCTCTTTGGAGCCTTCAGAAGTCTGAATTCCTCTTACATTTCCTCTCCTCTCCGCTTTCATCTCAAGCTTTCTGTCACATCATTTCCCTGGTCTTGTCTTGAGCTGAAACGAACATGTACAATTCCATCAAATACTTTCCTTGTGGACCTCTGTAGGCTCCTCAGAACCAAGGGGATCAATATCAGGATGTGACCAAGGAGAAAGGTGATGGGCAAGCTGTCAATCCTTTTGGGAGAGGGGGGAATAGTTTTGGATTAAAAAATAAATGGGTCCACCTCCACAAGATGCTTTCTGTTTTCATTCTTTTGTTCAGAATCTGATTGAAATTGTATAGCTCATGAGAGGATGGACCTTTTTCTTCTATTGAGAGCCACACATCTTCAGGAGTAATCTTTGTGGAGGACACATTCCATCAGAAGGTGGGTTTGGAACCAGTGGGGTTGGGATGTCAAAATTTGGCATGTCACCTTATTTTTGCTCCCTTTCCTCTCTCTGATCCTCAGGACTCTCCCTAAGCCACACTCCTTCCCTGGCCTATTGGAGCTGGGAAAGTCAATGTTATGCCCACCAGATTGTTGGACTCCCAACTCCCATCAGCCCCAGTTGCAATGGCCAATGGCTCCAAGCTGATGGGAGGCTGCAGACCGACAATCTGGAGGGCACCACGTTGGCCGCCCCTGCTTTGGAACAGCAGGGCACAAATGTTATTCTGTCATTTATGTAGCAGAATTCTTAATAATCTATTGCCCAGGCTAAGCATATTCAATTTCTTCAACATCTTCTCATAAGATTTGGTCTCCAGGGTCCTCACCATCATTGTCACTCTGTTTGGGACTAACTAATTGAAGCTTGTTGATAACCTTCTCAAACTGCAGTATCCAGAACTGGTCATACCCAGTGCTTTTTTTCTTTAAAAAAATGTTTAGGGGTACTCTCATTTCCCTACTCATATTGAAATACTGCCCCTCAATGAGGCCAAACTTAGATTCACAAAATGTTTAGGGGTATGCATACCCCTGTGTACCCCCAGGAAAAAAGCACTGGCCATATCAATCCAGGGATGAAGAGTTTAATAAACCATGTGATAGGCAGAAACTCAGCAGGTGTAGTTTTCACAGCACAGATGCACCATGGTGGGTAAACTTGGAACATTTTGTGCAAATGGATTATTTTTTTAAAGCTAGCTTCATCAGCAAAAGGAATGAAAGGGTGAAAAGTATTTACTTGAACATCGTTGGCTTTTCTGCACAGCAGGGGGTTGGGGAGGGAGCCGTGCAAATTAATGCATTGTTACATTCCTTCCCATGTTAAATAATAAGGGACACTCAGCAGAAAATGAAATGTAACTCGCTGTTCCAGTGTTGAGGAATTGCCTAGGTGGGGATTTAAAATATGTCAGGCCTCTGCTAGAGACTGTAATAAGGTGAACAAAATGCTGTTCACTCAGCCTCTAGGAACGTATTTGTCTTGTGAATTATTCCCCACGGGCACCTGCAAAAAGTTTACCACCCTTATTATGATTTGCAAGCAAGAGTGAACGAAATATGAAGATAACACAGGCCAAAGAAGGTTCCAGGACACTGAGGCCTGCTCTCTGCCCTGGTCGCCGATTCCCCTGATGTTGAGGTATTTCAATCACGACGGCAATCGCTCACCTGTCAAAAGTATTGATCGGTGGTGGCTTAAGGTCCCGCGTAATGAGCTTGCATGCTTTAATTGTTTCAATATGGATCTTTTCCCTTCGCTTCCTGGAGTTATTAAGGCCATAGGTATAACAAATATGGTAATTGAATGTATAACGCTAGACGACAAGTCACCACGTCGTACTTAAAAACAGGGCGAAAACGGATAAAGCAGAAATATCACTTTTCATTCTAGGGTTGTTGGACTGAGTTATTGGTGTATGGCTACATATGGTGCAAAAGTACTCTGTACAGCTGTGGTTTCCCAAGTGGGTGGTTCTGCCCCCTGGGAAGCAGTAGGATTACCTGGGGGGCACTAAGAAGCAAGGGAGGAGGCAGGGGGCACTGGAGATGTAAACAATCACCAGATTTTGCAAAGCTGGCATCACTGGATCCAGTTCATCAGTTTTGTTGAATTAATTAAATTACATAGTTTTAAATGGATTTTTAATAAATGTGCAATTCATTGTTAGTGTTTTGAATTTTATTGCGTCATAATCTTCCTTAGTGGGTTGTGTAAACCGATATTCTGAATAATGTTATGTATAGGATTGTGGGGAGGGAACTGGGGATGAGTTTATGGAACCAAGGGGTTGTGGCCCCCCAAAAGTTTAGGAATCACAGCGCTTGACATTTCCCTCTGGTAGCATCTTTCCTCCATCAGGAATGCCATCCACAACATCAGAGGTTTGCTGATCTGCTCATCTTCCAATGGGATACATGCTGTCATCTGCCTGCAATACCCTTTTGCACGCTGTGTAGGGCAAACAGACCAGTATCTGCAAGGGAAAGAATAAATGGTCACAAATCTGTCACCAGAAATGGCCAGTATCCAGAATCTGAGGAGTAGGGAGAGGGACATTTCAGCCTCCCAGAAGGCTCTGTAACTAATCTTTAAGTGGCCTTCCTTGAATAAGGGATTGCAAAAGGAGACTGAAACAAAGAATTGCAATTTGTCACAGGCTCAATGCCGTAGCTGATAGTCAGTGTGTTGGACTAGGACATGGGAAACCCAGGTTCAAATCCCCACTGTGCCATAAAACTCACTTGGGCCTGTCACTTTCTCTCACTCAGACTAAGCTACCTCACAGAGTTGTTGTGAGGATAAAATGGAGTGGTAGTGGACTTGTTTTGTTTTATTGACCACGTTTATGGACAGCTTCAAAGCATAAGGCCATCAACGCTTATACAGTGGTACCTCGGTTTAAGAACAGTCTGGTTTAAGAATGATTCAGTTTACAAACTCTGCAAAACCGGAAATAGTGTCCCAGTTTGAGAACTTTACCTCAGTCTAAGAACGGAATCCGAATGGTGGAAGGCCACCAGTGGTGGGAGGCCTCATTAGGGAAAGTGCACCTCGGTTTAAGAACAGTTTCAGTTTAAGAACGGACTTCCGGAATGGATTAAGTTTGTAAACCGAAGTACCACTGTATCAGCTTCAGGTGCTATTGTGAAGAGATGGTAGAAACTTGTTACTTTATTATTTTCACCGCATACTGCTGAAAACAAGTCTATTCCTCTCTGCCAATTTTGGCATATTAACTTCTTTACATTTCACAAGCAGTAATTTATATGGATTACAGGGAGTCACATCCAAGCCCTGCGCTGCAATTTACATTGTTGACATCTGCAGGTCACCTTTTCCTGTTAACTCATCTGAGCCTCTGGGCCCAGGGATATATTTTTCCATTTGAATTACAAAATTAAATGAGTGCCGAGATAAGTAAATAAATGAAATCCATGTATTTCGTAATTTCCCATGAAAAGAAAAAGTGAGGAAAATATTACACTTGGCACAGTTGGATCTAATGCAACATTAATCTGATCTTACAAAAATACATCTCTTTTATTATTATTATTTAATCTTTGAGGAGATTGCCAAGACCTTGAAAATCATGTTTCTTGGATGGGGGGGGGGGGAGGAGAAGGAGAGAGAGAGATGATGATGTGGAAATATGTACATTAAAAACTGTGCTGAATAATCTCAGTAAAACTCAACACACCAGTCTCTCCTGGCCTAACCTGCCTCACAGGAATGTTGTATGAGTTTAAAATGCAATTTCCCCCTGCTCAACAATTTATAGTCATATTTCATTAATACATGGATACAATGTTATTATAGGCTTAAAGTTCATAGTATTAATTTGGTACTGTAGCACTTTATCATTACTGGATCATTTGTGTGTTCTATATTTTTATGAACAAGGATGATCCAGTTTTCTTTCTTTTAAAAAGTGTCACATGGGAGAGAAAATGAGTGTGTATTTTGTGTGTATGTGTGCATGAGAGAGGGAGGAAGGGAGAGGGAGACAGACAGACAGACAGACATGTATGTCACCTTGAGCTCCTTGAGGAAAAGAATATAAATAAATCTTTATAACTGGGGACAGAAGCTTTAAAACTGGGAGTAGCTTTTATGAGCTACTATGGATGGGAAGAAATTTAATTCAGCAGCATTTAAAGGCAAACCTAAGAATTCTGAAACAACATGTGAATTGAGGCAAAGTGATTGTAATGGGTTTAGGGGTTGCTCGTGCGTAAGTTGCCACCACTCCTGGCTAGGTTACCTGGTTAAACCCTTTCTGACTGAACAGCCTCCAGCATCGTGACTGTCTCAGTCGCTGGCAGAATCCGTCAGTGGGCGTTTCTTAAACTTCTTCCAGCACAAAAGTTCCTTGACGCCAAGTCTCCTCCTACTCTCCCTGCGCGGAAGTCTTCTGCGTAGGGAGGGTGTGGGCAGCGGAGTACCCGTACTCTCTCCGCTGGTCTCCGGCGAGGAGTCTTGGAGCCTCCTCTCTGATTCCCCCATCTGCCCCCCTTCTCTACTGGTGTTACGCTGATTTCCTTCCCCAGCGGACGGGCTGCCTCTCTCCCTACTGGGACCCTCTCCGCCATCCCTCTGGAGCCTTCCCTCCGCCTCTAGCTCCGATGGCAGTTCCCTGACATCCATCTCCCCCCCAGGACCCCCCCACCCTCGGCCCGACATTCTGATCCAAACTCGTCCCTTTCCTCGGCCGATGATGCGGGGAATCCCCTGAAGGAGCTGTCGCCATCCTCTGAGGATTCAAAACCCGCTTCCCACCCGCTCCAAACTCTTGCCGCGGGGTGGGCCTCCCAGTCTGATTCTTCTCCCTCTGACACCTCTCCTCCCTCCTCTTCGGAGGCAGGAAAACCCACAAATTCCTCTTCGTCTGTGGTTCCAAATTCTTCCTCCCAGAATCTCACTAGTGGTTTTGGTTTGTCTGGGAACAGGCTGTGGAATTCTTCCACTAGATACCCATCATTGACCGCCTCAGCGGGGACCCACGTGTTTTCTGACCCGGGTTCTCCTTCCCAAGCCACTAAGTACTCCACCTGGCACCCTCGCCACCTTGAATCGAGTATTTCCATGGCTTGGTTGTGGAGTTCCCTCTCCTCTACCCGCGGGTGGGTGGTGACTCCTCCCTCCCGCCCCGGGAATTCCCGCCCCTCCCTGTACGGTGAGAGTAGGGACCTATGGAACACCGGATGTATCTTCATGCTGTCAGGCAACTTGAGCTTGAATGCCACAGGGTTCACCTGCTGTGTTACCTCAAAGGGTCCCAGCCGCCTTGGCTGCAACTTCTTGCACCCTCCCTTTAGGGGTAACCCTTGGGTTGACAACCACACTCGGTCTCCCACCCGTATGGCATCCCCCTCCCAACGGTGCTTGTCTGCCTGCCTCTTATAAACTTCCTTGGCCCGCTCTAAGTTCATCTTGAGTTGCTGGTGCAATGCCTCCATTTCTTCCACAAACTGCTCTGCCGCAGGTACACTCCACCCTTCCTACCCCCTCCCCGGGAAGGCCCTGGGGTGACACCCATAATTGGCCATGAACGGGCTCATGCCCGTGGACACATGTTCAGCGTTATTGTACGCAAATTCAGCCAGCGCTAGTTTCTCTACCCAATTGTTCTGTCTCTCGCTGACGTAGCAGCGTAGGTATTGCTGGAGTATACTGTTCGCTCTTTCTGCTTGCCCGTTGGTTTCCGGGTGTGGCGCCGTCGAGAAGCCCACCTCTACCTGCGGCAAGCTCATGAGCTTCCTCCAGAACCAGGAAGTAAATTGTTTCCCGCGATCTGAGATGACCCTCGAGGGCCCCCCATGCAACCTGAAGATGTGATCCACAAACAACTTGGCTGTCTCCTCTGCCGTCACCGCATGTGTGCAAGCTATGAAATGGCACATCTTCGTCAGTAGATCGACTACTACCATGACTGCTGTCTTCCCCCTAGACTTGGGCAAATCTGTCATAAAATCAATGGACACCACCTCCCAGGGTCTTCCCAGCGTGGGTAAGGGTTCCAGTAACCCTGTGGGGGCAGCCCTCTCCCCCTTTGCCCTTTGGCAGCGGTCGCACCCCCGTACATATTCCCGTACATCCTCCCTCACCCTTGGCCACCAGAACTGCCTGGTGATGAGCAGCATGGTTTTGTGCTGTCCAAAGTGCCCAGCTGTGGGGTTGTCGTGGAGTTGTTTGAGTACCTTCCCCTCAAGGTCTCCCCCGGTACATACAGCGCCCCCTTATAGTACAGCACCCCTTCCTTTTCCTCAAACCCTCCATGGTTTTCTCTTCCGTCTCGGAGTTCCCTGATTTTAGTTTGAGCGAACACGTCGTTTCTAGTAAGCCCGGCCATTTCTCGTTTCCCAACCAAGGCTCCCCAACACACCCATCGGTCTTCGGGGATCACGTGTCGGATCTCCGGCGGTCCCTCTCCTTCCATGTACTTCGGCTTCCGGGAGAGAGCATCTGCTCTTACGTTTTCCTCTCCCAGCACATATCGGATCTCAAAGGAAAACTTGGAGAACTCCTGTGCCCATCGAATCTGTCTCTGGTTGAGTTCTCATGCGGTCCTCCAGTATTCCAAGTTCTTGTGATCAGTACAAACCTGGATCTTGTGCTGCGCCCCTATTAACAGATGTCTCCAGCGGCGAAACGCCGCATAGATCGCCAGCAGTTCGCGGTCATACACCGTATAGTTTTACTCCGACTTGCTCAGCTTCCTCAAGAAAAAGGCACACGGCTTCCATTCCTGCTTGCCCCTCCCTGGCTGCAAAAGTACCGCCCCAATGGCTCTGTCGGACGCGTCGGTCTCTAGCCTCATGGGTTTCTCCAGATCAACGTGCAGGAGCTGCTCTTCCGAAGCGAACGCCTTCTTCAGTCTTTCAAAGGATTGCTGGGCACTTTCTGTCCAGGCGAACTTCCTTTTGCTACTGAGACAATCTGTGATGGGCGCTGTCAAGTGGGCGAAGTTCTTGATGAACTTCCTGTAGAAGTTGCTGAACCCTAGGAACCTCTGCACATCTTTCCAGGTTTTGGGGGCTTTCCATTCCAGCACTGCCTGCACCTTGCATGGGTCCATAGCTAGTCCCTTGTCTGACAACTTGTACCCCAGAAACTCGACCTCTCTGGTGTGAAATTGGCATTTTTCCAGCTTGACCCACAACTGGTGCTTCTGCAGCCTCTTTAGCACTTCCCTGACGTCTCTGACATGTTGCTTCTCATTGTCTGAATAGATTAAGACGTCGTCCAAGAAGGCTACGCAGTTCTTGTACAGCAGGGGCCCCAACACGTGGTGCATGAATGCTTGAAAGCAGGCGGAGCCCGATTGTAATCCAAATGGCATGACTAAGTACTCAAAAGCCCCCAGGGGGGTGAACACGGTGGTTTTCCATTCGTCCCCCTCCCTTACCCTGATCAAATTGTACGCTCCCCTGAGGTCCAGCTTGGTAAACATTTTCCCCTGCCTCACCCATGTTAAAATGTCGTGAATCCTGGGCATTGGGAAGGTCATGGGTTCTGATACCAGGTTTAGGGCCCTGTAATCCACGACCAATCTGGGCTGATTAGTCCCTTTTTTGTCCACAAAGAACACCGGACTGCCCCCCACCACCTTTGATTCCCTTATGAACCCCCTCTTCAGGTTCTTGTCAATAAACTGCCGTAACTCCTGCATCTCCCGGTCTGACATGGCATACAGCTTACCCACCGGCAGCTGAGCCCCTGGGATTAAGTTGATTTGGCAGTCAAAGGACCTATGGGGGGGTAGTCTATCCGCCTCCTTCTCGCTGAAGACTTCCTTTAGGTCAGCGTATGGTGGTGGCACCTCTCCCTTTGTTTCCACCACCAGCCCAGCCACCCTTGTCATTCTTGGGGTTCCCCCCCCAGACAGTGTTCCAAACAGTAAGCTGACCCAAAGGTGACTGTCCGCTGATACCATGACACTACTGGATCATGCAGTGCCAGCCAGCTCATCCCCAGTATTATTGGGGGTCCTGCCAGTGTGGCCACGTGAAAGGCAATGGTCTCCGTGTGCCTGGACACCCTCATTCGCATTGGCGGGGTCTGGTGTGTCACTTCCCTCCCAGAAGTTCCCTGCCATCGATGGTGGTCACTTGCAAGGGAAAATCCAGGGGTAGCAAGTGTATTTGGTGCTCCAAGGCGAAGTCCCTGCTGAAGAAATTGCAGGAGCTGCCCGAATCCAGCAGCCCCTCAACCTTGACTCGGTGCCCATTCGGGAGTTCTAGCACCACTGCTATGGCTATCGCTGCCCTGGGGGGGTCAGGCTGGGGCACTTCTATTGGTTGCTGGCCTGGCTGCTGGCCCCTCTGGTTGGCAGCCAGGCGTTGTCGTTTCCCTGCGCCTGCCCTTCCTCCCCCTTCTCCTCACAGCCGGCAGCCCCCACCATCCCTTGCCAGGCCTTTCTTTGAGGGCAGACCCTTGCAAAATGTCCCGGCCGTTGGCAGAGGAAACACTTCTTGGTGGTTTTCCAATTCTTCCCCTCCCTCTTGCGATCTTCACTGGAGTTTGAAACCTCTCGCGCGCGCGCCATCTATTTCCATTGGCTCAGCCGCCTGGGAAAGCTGTCTCGGTATTTCAGGAATGCGGTAGTCATGGCAACGTTCCCCTCTCACTTCGCGTTTCTCCTGAGCCTGCGCTTCCTGCCGCACTCCAATCGCAAGCACAGCCTTGGTCAGCTGGTCCATCGAGTGCGGGCGGGACGCGCGGGACAGCTCGTCCTTCACCGTTGCGGACAACCCCTCCTCAAACAACATTTGAATAGGTTCAGAGTCCAGATCCCACCTGAGCCGGTGGATCAACATTGCAAAGCGCGACCAGTAGTCTCTAACTGACTGGCTCCCCTGCTTGCACCCCATCAGTTCTCGCCGAGTCACACTTTGCTGGACTTCACTGGAATACATCGCATCCATTGCCTGAAAGAATTTCTTAAGGTCATAGAATCATAGAATCATAGAGTTGGAAGAGACCACAAGGGCCATCGAGTCCAACCCCCTGCCATCAGAGCACTCCTGACATATGGTTGTCAAGCCTCTGCTTAAAGACCTCCAAAGAAGGAGACTCAACCACACTCCTTGGCAGCAAATTCCACTGTCGAACAGCTCTTACTGTCAGGAAGTTCTTCCTAATGTTTAGGTGGAATCTTCTTTCTTGTAGTTTGGATCCATTGCTCCGTGTCCGCTTCTCTGGAGCAGCAAAAAACAACCTTTCTCCCTCCTCTATGTGACATCCTTTTATATACATGATTTTGCGTCGCCATAAGGGGCCTGATCCATTCCCGTGCCCCATCCTCCAGGTGCCCCACAATGTAGGCTACCCTTTGCTCATCGTTAGCAAAGTCATCATGCTGCAGTTCCAAAGCGTACTCTATTTCCGCTCGGAACGCATTGTAGTCCTGGGGTTTCCCCCCAAACTTGTGTACCAGCCCCGGTACCTTGCTCGTGATGGGGGTGGGTCTGACCTGAGCATCCTGAGCTTGTCTTTCGTCCAGCCGCGCCGTCAGGAGAGCTACATGCTGTTCCAAGTCTCGGTTTCTCTCTACCAGACCTTGCACTGCAGCTGCTTGCCCCGTCTCTCTGGCTCCTCTGGTCTGGCTCATGGTGCTGCCTCTCTGGAGCTGCGCACAAGCAACGTCGGGGACTGACGGATTGCTGTAATGGGTTTAGGGGTTGCTCGTGCGTAAGTTGCCGCCACTCCTGGCTAGGTTACCTGGTTAAACCCTTTCTGACTGAACAGCCTCCAGCATCGTGACTGTCTCAGTCGCTGGCAGAATCCGTCAGTGGGCGTTTCTTAAACTTCTTCCAGCACAAAAGTTCCTTGACGCCAAGTCTCCTCCTACTCTCCCTGCATGGAAGTCTTCTGTGCAGGGAGGGTGTGGGCAGCGGAGTACCCGTACTCTCTCCGCTGGTCTCCGGCGAGGAGTCTTGGAGCCTCCTCTCCGATTCCCCCATCTGCCCCCCTTTTCTACTGGTGTTACGCTGATTTCCTTCCCCAGCGGACAGGCTGCCTCTCTCCCTACTGGGACCCTCTCCACCATCCCTGTGGAGCCTTCCCTCCGCCTCTAGCTCCGATGGCAGTTCCCTGACAGTGATCCTTTGAAATTTACACTTCCTCCCATTTTAAAATGCTGTTCTCCAGCCAAGCAAATGCAAATATCAGAGTGAAATCTGCCTGAAAATGCATGTACTGTAATACTGAAACTGACATACAAAAATGCATTCCATGAGAGAAAATTCCTTTGCAAAAAATGTGCATAATAGGTTAATTTGGATATACAAAAAATGTGTATTAGGAGAAATTTGCACTAAAATGCTGATGGATTTTCATAAGGCCATTTTTTTAAAAAAAGAAAAATAATAAGGAACTGGTGTGTAAATGTTTAGAACTGAACTTATGGCTGGAGCAATCAGAAACTGAGAGAAGCTGAAATCGACAGATTCTCCTGACACTGCAACCTATACACAAAGAGGTTGCCCACTCCCAATACACATTTACTCAAAAGTCATTTCCACCATGTTCAGTGGTGCTTGCCTCCAGGAAAATGTACATCTGACTGCAGTCCTAAGTATGGCAAACCTTTTGCCAGACTAGGACCCTGTTTAAAATGACCTTTTAGCCACCTCAGTGTATATGACTCCTCTGATTCACTCTCCCTCTTCGTAATCTTTTTGGAAGCAGTCTGAAGAAAGCTAAGCACCCTTCTACCCCATTAGAGCCAAAGGAAATTCTACGCGCAGTTAAACATTCCTACTGATTTCACACCGATGGCACATCTGACTTTCTCAAGAGTGAACTCCAGCCTTTACATTTACGTGTCCTGGCGACAGACTATAACTAGGCTCTGTGCACATATATTTAAAGCGGACGACTTCCCCCAGATGGTCCTGGGAATTATAGTTCATCACTCACAGTGCTACAATTCCCAGCATACTTAAGATTCTTTGTGGGGAGGGGAAGTCATGTACATTAAATGTGCTTCAAATGTATGATGTGAACCCCGCTTACGAATTAGATTCGGGGGGGGGGGGGGGGGAAATTACTTCTTGTCCCATGGGATGAACAGCCCTCTGGAAGTATTTCTCAGAGTGGCACTTAGGAATAAGCCTGATGCTTGCCTGCTTGAACAGAGCTTCAGTATTTGTTCTCACTGGATAATCTGGGGAGACAAAGCAAAGCCTCAAAATAGTCAGTCTCCCTAAGGGCTCACCTCCCTTCCACTCCTTTAGAAAACAAAAAAATGTTAGCATCCCATTACACATGGCACTAGGACATCTTGCCAATGTGTAAAGTGCATTTTAGAAGCCCAGCTCACATCATAGACCATTGTGTGAAGAGGTGAGTGAAGTCTCTTTCTTAAGGTGCGCATATATATATATATATATATATATATATATATATATATATTCATTATCTTGGGGAGATGAATTAACTGTGCAGTTACTGCTTCCCTCAGCCACCAACCTGCCTAATCATGATCTCTGGGATCTGGTGAAACTGAAAGCAGCCACTTATTCAAACACCTACCCACCCCATCCATTGGGCTACTCACATGTCCATCAGACACATGTCCATCAGAAACTTGATTGGTGAGGGTGCATGGTGTCACCCAGCTGCAGTCGAGGAGTCTAGGGAGCTGCTCAAGCAAGTCAAACTGTTTGTCCATCTAGCTCTGTCTTGTCTAAACTAACTGGTAGTGGCTTTCCAGGCTTTCAGAAAGGAGTCTCTGCTCATCCTACCTGGAGATCCCAGGGATTGAACATGGGACCATCTTACATGCAAAACAAATTCTCTCCCAATTAAGCTACGGCTCTTCCCCATTCTCCCTACAATTTCTACCATATTTCCACCTCCCCCTATTGCATATGCAGTTCCAGCTGTGTTTATTTACATATTTATTACATTCATGCCCCACCTTTTCCTCCAAGGAGCTCGAGGTGGCATACATGGTTTCCTATCTCTGGATTTATTTTCTTTCTTTTTTAAATAATTTTTATTTGGTTTTACAAATATAAAATTATAATAATACCAGAACACACATCCACAATTAAAAGATTCCTCCGAATCTCTGGATTTCCCACCTTCTCCTCCATGGGTTCTGTTGATAAACCTTTTTCTACGGCATCTTTTTCAGTAATCCATTTTTTTAATAACTCCATTATCTCCATAGTACTTGTTACATTTCAAGTGTTATTGCAATCCTGCTAAGGTTTTCATCTGCTTACAGTGGTCTCCAAGATAAATTATATTTCCCCCCCATTCCCTTTTGAAGTTTTGGTCTTTTTGGTTCCTTAGCTTTCCGGTCAGTTTTGCCCTTTCAGCATAGTCCAACAGTTTAATTTGCCATTCTTCTCTGGTAGGGACTTTATCTTTTCCCATCTTTCCTATCTCTGCATTTCATCCCCACAGCAACCTTGTAAGGTAGATTAGGCTGAAAGGCACACTGACTGGCCCAACGTCACTCAGTGAGTTTTCTGGCTGCAGGATACAGAAGGGTGTGTGAGTGTGTATTGAAATGATCCTACCATACAAAGGTAACATTTGCACTTGATGCTCCGCCCACTTTTCCCTGTGGCTCCACCCACCACTGGCTTGTGCCCCAGACGGGAATATGGGCCCCAGGCTGAGAAATGTTCTCCACCCCTGCTCTGGTGCTTCTAGCCCCGCTGCCTCCTGTTTTGGCTTCTGGGCATCAGAGCATATTTTGCAACAAGACAAAACACAAGCGTGACTCCTCTGCTGGCTATGGAGCCAGTGCCGAGTTCATGTTGGTGCCAGCGATGAGCATCCAGCAAATCTGTTGATTTCTCCCTCTGGCAGAAATGCCGCCCAGCTTTCCTCCCAAGCCAGGCTTCAAGCTGTTCGGTAAGATGTTCCATCCTGAAAATGCCGGTTAAGAAGCAGAGAGGAAAAGTCCTGTGATTAACAGGAGAGGCTTAAAGCTTCCAAAGAGGGTTGGCTGAACACACACAAGTGCACACTCATGCATGCTCAGGGCTTTCCTTCTTACAGAAATGTTAAAAGGATCTCTCCTCCTGAATTTCTGATTCCTCCTCCCCTTTCCTGAACTCAGGGGGACAGTAATTGTTTTGTTGTTGTTTTTCCCGAGAGGCTTAATTCTTATCAATAAATTATGGAGTTCCTTCCCCTCTCTGGCTGTTTCAGTCTTAAATTCCTTTCTTGTAACTTCTTGGGATGAGCTTACAAGTGTTTCCCTTTGGCTAGATAACACACAAACACTGCTCCTTCTTCAGCAAAGGTTGAAAGTTTATCGTCAGCTTTTCTCCGCATTATAAGAGGTCTGAATCACAGGCCTCTGCTGCAAAGCCACAGTTGTGACTGGAGCACATGGGAGCTTTCCTCTTCATGCAAACATCGGGCATGGAGGAGGAAGTGTTCTGGACTGGCACCAGAGCAGGGGGCAAAGGGTTAAATTGCCTTCCCTGCTTCCCATGCTGGGTCCACTCTGCAACTGCTCCCCAATGCACTATTTCCAAAATAAAAACCATGCACTCACTGACAAACAGTATGATTTGCATCACATGCTATTTGACCCTGCATGTCTTTCCAAGCGCTGGCTGCTACCAGAGGGAACCTGCAGCCCTTCCAGATGTTGTTGGCTGGCAACTCCCATCAGCCCTGCCCATTGGCCATGCTGGCTGGGACTGATGGCAGTTGGATTACTGCTGGGGGGGGGAATCTGTTTGTAGCCCACTTGGCCTGGAAAACTGTGAGCATAAAGAGACAAATTTGGGGGTGGCATAGAGTTCTTTCCTGCAGTTATCATGGGTAGAAAAGAAGCACACATGTGTGGAAAGGGCAAGGAGTAGTGATATGGTCCAATGAAATTTGTTGCTCTGTCACACCACACCCACAGGTGATGAAATGTAGTGTAGCATGCAGCTATGCTGGTCAAAAAGCCACAGTTCCATGATACAACAGGTACTGTGGTGTGAAAGGAAGATTAGAAAATGGGACAGCAAGACTAGCTTTATAATAGGGAAACTAACAAGATGTTCCCTTTGCTTGAATTCACCCAAAGCCAGCCCAGAACCTGGTCACCAGAGCTATTTGAAATGTGCAGCCTCTGCGAAGTGGTATATTCAGTATGAACCAGACATTATACTGAACACACCAAGGTGGGTGCCTGCAATGCCACTTCCCAAATACATTCATATTCAAATAATGTGTGACCAAAGATTCCAGCCAATGCTTAATATATCTATGGGGGGGGGGGTTCTCTCCTTTTAAAACTCCTGTATCACAGATCTCTGCTCTTAAGCAACAAATATTCTCAAGATGTACACTTCCCATTCCCGCTTGTGTGACCATATTTTTTATAGGATCTTCCCCCTTGGCAATTCAGCCAAAGGTAGTCAGTTGCCTGACATGCAACAACCTGCTTCTGGCCAAGCTAACACATCGGATTTCACACGGCTGATTATGTTTTTGTCAAAGCTGCAAAAACCAATCTCCCCTCCTGTCATAGGTCAGGCGGCTTTGCTTTGTCCAAGGAAGGGGAGCAGATGGAAAAAGCTTCCGGATGACCACAAAAGGTTTGCACAGCAACAAGTGGGTTGCATCCCTTGAAAGCTGCTTCTCTGTGTCATGACAGTGAAGCTCCAGGTTTGAGGTTTCTGCCCCACATCAGTAGACCTCCACCCCCAACCCGTTCATGCACCTGTGATGTGCTTGCCCCTCACAGCGTAAGTGGGCCAGGTCAGCAGCGCTTCCAGGAAGCTGCCATGTTAATTTCCCACAATGCCCTTGACACATGACCTCAATCTAAGGAACTGTGGGAAATTAACTTGGTAATTCCAAGACCCATATGACTTGCACAAAAACATTGCTTAATGGAGGGAAAAATAGGAAGCAGCCTGCACCAAGTCAGCCCATCAGTCCATCTAGCAATGTCTCTCCAGAGCTTCAAAGAGAAAGAAGTCTTTCCCAGCCCTACCTTGAAATGCCAGATTTGCTTAACATTTTGTATATGATGGAAATTGGATCAGTTAGCAGTGGTTTCTGACATATTTTATTTTATTTTATTGCTGGAACAGACACACATACACACACACACACTTGCAAGAAGATTTCTTCTTAATCTTTTGTCTTTGCATTTCTATTGCTACATTTCTAACTTAGATTGCAGTCATCATATGCAATATCAATTCTTCCTAGCTTTCTGCTTTTCCAAGAATCCCAGCAGAGGGGGGATTTGGAATCTGGGAGTCCTCCAGTGCCAGACTCAAAAGCACAACCCTTTTCACAATCTACTCTTGGCACAAATTAAGAAACCATCCAAACTGGATTGCTCAGTCATTTAGCGTGACTGCCTATCTAAAGTGGCTACCTCAGAGGCTCACCTTAAGAGAGAATTCCTTAAGAACTCAGTCTATTTCCAGAGTCCATAACTTTCATTTGACCAGGAAGGCTGTAAGTTCTCTGCTAAGCCTTAGTTTACCTCTTTTTCCCTATAGTTAATCAAAATTTCATTAATATGTATTGTGCGAATATGCACATATTGTTCTAGCCCTACACTGTTTCACAGGCTAAGTACCACAACTGAAATGAATGACCCCTGTGCAGGGTAGGATAGCGGTTAGCGTGTTGGGTTCTGATCTCCCCTCAGTTATGAAGTTCCCTGGGTGACTTAGGACACTCGGCCATCTTTCAGCATAACAGAGGTGTTGTGAAGATAAAATGGGTGTAGCCATCGAGCCTCTTGGAGGAAATGTGAGAGTACACACCTAATAAGAAACCTTCCATCTGTGGCGTTTTCCCATAAGGAAATAGGAAGGTGCCTTAATACCAGGTGAGATGATCTGCCCAACTGACCCAGTATTGGTTATTCCCGTTGCTGCCTGGATTCAACCCGTCAGCTTGCAAAGGCTGCGCTGTATCGCAGGGTGATGATGGTCCCTTCCCTGACAGTTCCTAGCAGACCATGCAATATATTAAATAAATCCTTCCTATGGTTTTCTTTGTTACATTGCCAAGATCTTGCAGGAGCAGCAGCTAGATGCAAAACAGGTTAGGAAGTATAATATTTAATCTGTTACTGTGCATTATGCTTCATCTATCAAACAGAGTGTGAACGAACCCAGCTATCTGTTTAATGAATGCATTCTGAAAGAATTCGGATCCCGCAGAAGTGCATATTTTGTAAAGCTGTCTGGCTATGATGAATCGAAACGATGCAGCTTATTATTAATTAAACCCAAAGATCAGCGAAGCTGGTGATGGCTCTTTGCATACACTCTTCACTTCAGTGAGTCCTACTGTTTACTTCCCAGCCCTTCTAATGAAATGCCAGAATTGCTGCATATTATTATTTTTCCCCATTAACAAATAAATTTGAATGGATCCATCCTAAATATTCGGGGAGGGGGGAGGGAATATCTTCATTACAGAAGAAAAACATCAGGCAATTAGCCTGGAGGATGCTGCAGGTGACACAGTTGTGACATTAACCAGCTCACGTGTATAAGATTTGCAAAAACAAATTTCTCTGCTTCCCACCTTTCTAAAGAATTTTAAAGGGTTTTTTTTGAATGAATATAGATGTATTATTTGAAAGAGCATTATTCACGGTGAGATCTTTAACTGCAGTGTGAAGCCAACTTAACTGTGGCCTTGGAACTTCCAACGTACATAGCACAGGGTCAAATGCTGCATCAGCCACTGATGTCCCACTGGTGAGTCAGACAGGCAGCCCATGTTTAAAACATATATTTAACAGCACGGGCTACCAACTTGAGTAAAATATTGGGGCGGGTGGGCAGGTAAGCCCCGCCCCGCAATATCGATCACCTGACAGTGCACACACACCATTTGAATGGCAATGCCCATCAACTTGGGAAGGAGTGGCCCCCTTAAATATTTTATTGGGGGGGGGGACAAAGACCCCTTGGCCCCTAGGAGTTCGCTCCTGTATAACAGCACATCCTAGGTGTTACGATATTGAATCAATGCAGCCGCGAGCTGCTGGTAGCTTGAAAGCAAAACATAATGGGAATGTTGGGACTGTTCCGTGGGAAACAGAGGGACAGTCAATTCAGAGTGCAGAGGGCACCGGAATTAGCTCAGAGTGTAATATGAGCTGGACAGGAAGTGTTTGTTTTCTCTCGACTGCTGGAACTTGAAGAGAGCAGTCATGTTTTTTGTAACGCTGCAAAGACAGAAATAAAGGCATGTAAATACGTTTCTGTCTATCTCTTTCCCCTGCCGGGGGGGGGGGGCAGGAAAGAGGGGGTGTGTTCTTCTCACGCTGAGAAGGATCGCCTATCGCGACCTAGCCTGGGTCTTGCTGGGGAATGCAGACAGGGAGGTCAACAGGAGATCAAGCCGGGTGCCTGGAGAGTGGCCAGTTTCTCCTGATAAAGGCTTGATTTCCAACACTAGGAACATGCCATTGCTCTCTGCTGGTGTGGAATAATGGGGCAAATTTTACTCCTCCTCAAATTAAACTAAGATGTCGGAAAACCTCTACCCCTCCACCACGTCAGATATGCCCCCCCTACAAAGCCTCAAGTGACTCTGTTCTATGCTGATGAAGAATTTACCTCTGCCCATCTCAAAATGCTCCACTTTTACACACTGCAAGAAGTGTCAAGAGTGGATGACTTTTAATACAGAATGACCACAAACGTTTCTTCTCTGTGCTTGTTCAGTGCCATTATTCAGGTTGTTATCATCACCACCATCTTTATTAAGGGCATGTAGGCTTCACCCTTTAGCCAAAAAATGCTCTAATATGGTTCCTGCCTTCAGGCTCACAATCTAAAAAAGGCACAAAGACAGGGTGGCTCCTGCCACACAGTTCTTCCTTTGAGCAGCTGACTTGACTGCAGTTACGATCCTCTTTCCTCCCTGATATCAGTGGCTGTTCTCACTATCTCACCATCCCACTACCATCACACCCAGGAGCAGAGATTGTGACAGTATCCAAACCAGGAGGGTAAGACACCAAAGTGTTGGTGAAAAACGGGGGCGTGGGGGTTCAAATCAGTTTATAATGGCTCCATGGTCAACAGTTGATTTGTTCTACCAGGTGTAAATTTTGACTCAGTTTTAAAAATGCCTTTTATTTTTCTCTTTCCTCCTTGGTGGCGCTCTCCCCCCCCCCCATTCCCTTGTTTCCAGAAGGTCATTTCATTTTTCATTCTCCTTCTCTGAGCAGATCTCTTTTCTTTAATTTTATTTAATTGATGATAACTAATTGGCTCCCACTTTGGGGAAAAGTGCCATCAGAGCCTGCTGGGTTTTTAATTTTTCCGCCTTCCTAAGTAGCATCTCAGGTGGAGGTCTGGAAATTAAAACCTCTTTTCTTTTCTTTTTTTTTAAAAAGGTAATATTACGGTGAAGGTTATTAACTTACTTGTGAGCTCCCTATTTTGCTTCTCAGGTACTCCTCTCTTTCACTTTGAGTTCTATCTGCTGCTATGAGCCCCTTTTGTGTAAGAACGTGTCCCTATATAGGGAAGTTCCAGAGTCAAAGGAACTGCAGCTCAGCAGGAGACTGAGCTCCATTCATTTGGGTCTAAACAGAGACAACATTTAGACAAATGCCTCTGAATACCAGTTGGTGGGAATCACAGGTGGGCCGAGTGCTGCTGAGTTCATCTCCTGCTTGAGTGCTTCCTACAGACATGTGGTTGGCCACAGAATGCTAGACTAGATGGGACATCGGCCTGATACAGCAAGCTCCCCTTATCTTCTTATGCTTGGATCAAGAAGAGCTATACTGAACAAGACACAAGAAGGAATGCAAGAGACTCACCGTGCCGCTACCTGAACTGGGCAGACCCCTCTTCTCAAAAAAGGTGCTCAAAAGTAGAGTGCACAAGGGTCCTACTTTATAGAAGACAGTCCTCTGTTTGAAGGAATCCTTTACTTGAAGAGTTGTCCTGTCCATGTCTGGTTTAAAGTTAAGGAACCACAAGAAGGAAGAGGTGGGGCGGGACTTGAAATTGCCCAGTTTTGGGGGCTTATCCTTCTATTCTATTGCAGACGTGCTTCCAAGTAAGCCTGCATTTTTTGCTATTGCGGATTACGAGAACAGTATGCGCTCTCCCACCTATGGTGCTGAAGATGGGAAAATTTTCCCCACTTTCGTTTTCAAAACAAAAAAAAGCCCTTTCTGGTGTGGATGAGTTTCTGTCTAGAGTGAAGCTTTTGTGTTGCCCTCCAGTGCCACCTTGCTGCCCATCGCAGCATCGTTTATTGCTTTTTCAAAAGACTCCTTCAATTCTTCGGTTTCTGCTCTCTGCCACCAGGAACTCTTTCCCGCAACAGAAAGCCCTTGGACCACCCTCTCCCTCCTCAAACTGGCCCTGTGAGACAAGCAGTCCCACTTGCTCCCACTTGCATCTTGCTCCTCTTGCATCTCCTGTGATGGTTCTCCTCACGTCTCTTTATTGCAACCTCCCTTACAACACCCCTGTGAGGTAGTATAGGCTCAGGTGGTAACTGGTCCAGTGAGACTCACAGCAGCGAGATCTGTACCTGGTTCTTCCTGGTGATGGGCCAATGCTGTAATAATAATAATAATAATAATACTAATTTATTATTTATACCCTGCCCATCTGGCTGGGTTTCCCCAGCCACTCTGGGCGGCTTCCAACAAAACACTAAAATACAATAACCTGTAACCTCCATCTTTCTCTCTCTCCTTTTTATATCCCACTCAGAGCCATGGAGACTGAGGGTGCTGTATACAGTCATGGTGAGAAATGTATTCAGAATAAATCCAGGCCAAGCTTGAGGCAAGGATGGTGTTTGGCTGTTGAATATTAGGCACTTGGAGTGGAAAGACCTGGGTTCAAACCCATGCCAAGCTATGACACTCACTAAGTGTCCTTTGGCCCAGTCTCTATCTCTGAGCATAGCCTTCCAATGACCTGCAGTCCTGCCTCTGAATAAGGGCTTCCCAAACTTGGGTCTCCAGCTGTTTCTTCAGACTACACCTCCCATCATCCCTAGCTAGCAGGATCAGTGGTGAAAAATGATGGGAATTGTAGTCCGAAAACAGCTGGAGACCCAAGTTTGGGGAAACCCTGCTCTAAAGGATTGATTCCTCCTTTACTTGCCATGCAAATGGGCCTTTTTATAGCCCCATTGTAAAGTCCACCCACCTCACACCCTTCCTGGGGTCCTGGATCATGCTCTACTCCCTGCTACATTTTTGGAGATAGGCAGGTAACATTCAGCAACGTCTAAGCGAATTACTAGAATCAGACAGGGGCTAAATCACAACATTTTCCCAACAGGATCCCCATCAGTCCTTGCTGGAAGATGGTATTTACATCCTCAGTAAAATGTTCCTTTGCAGATGAGCAATTGTTACCCTAACCACTGCAAAGTGGTCTCTGGATCTATTTTAAGCTGCATAATGTACTATTCAATATCCTTTTGATTATGGCAGAGATTTGAGCCTTTACTTGAAGAGCATGTCCCTGTGTGTAAGTTTTGTTGACGTGAGTACTGCAAATGTATTATTTACGACAGAGAAAAGTCCCCCCCACCCCCGCTGCCTCCTTTTGCTGTTTAAGGCAGCGCAGGTGCTTTTTGCAAGACCCTTTGCTGTGTCTCAGGAATGACTACAGCTCCACCTAGTGGGAAAGCATGTGGGCATTTTTTCCTACATCCTGTTATCGCCAGTCTCTTATGGCAAAGGTTCCCCATGTTTTAAAATGGATCTTGTTTGTGCATATTTAAGGCTTGTTCTTTTTAGGAAGCAGAAAATGGAGGGTGCTGTATATTTTGGAGTGAGCTCAAGGAGATTTAGCAACAGCTCTGAAAGGTTCCCACTGTCTTATATCGTTTATTAGAAGAAGCAAAAATAAGCCACACCTCAGTGGGACTCCAAATGCTTGCAGGCAACCCCCAACTCTTAAAAAGGAATCTTCTGTATCTAGGGCAGATTCCAAAGTCATCAAAAGCCTTAGCGCACAGCAGAATAGACTTGATAATAACAGAAAGTGGGATGGTCCCAGTGCAGATAGAATAATAGAACTGTAGATTTGGAAGGATATCTCTGCTTGAAAATCTCTAATGAAGGAGAGCCCACAATCTCCTGAGGGAGTCTCTTCCACTGTTGAACAGCTCTTACCATCAGGAAGTTATTCCTGATGTTTAGTGGGAATCTCCTTTCTTGTAACTTGAAGCCATGGTTCGAGTCCTACCTTCCAGAGCAGGAGAAAACAAGCTTGCTCCATCTTCCATGTGACAGCCCTTGAGATATTTAAAGATGGCTATGAAATCTCCTCTCAGTCTCCTCTTTAACAGGCTAAACACATTCAATGCCTTCAAGCGTTCCTCATAAGGCTTGGTTTTCAGACAGCTGTTGCAGCAAAAAACAACCACCACAATGCAGTGGTGTGGCTAACTTCTCGCCCTTCAGATGTTGCTGGACTACAACTACCATCATCCCTGACTAGTAGTCATGACAACCAGGGCTGATAGGATCTGGAATCCAACATCATCTGGAAGACCACAGGTTCTCCATCTCTACTCCAGAGGAAGAGTGAGCACCACTGCCTTCACTCTGATTGGTTCCAGGGCAAGGCTTCCAATGAAGAAAAATGTATGATGTTGGCACAAGCTGTGGCAACTCTTAGGAGTTCTCTTGCCACTGGTGTTAAGTTTGCTACCAGCCTTACACCCTTTCACAGCCCCCTCTCCCAATGTACCAAAGTGCTCTTGGGTTCCTTTGCTTTAATTGAAGTTATAGCAGAGTTTAAAGCTTGGAAGCTGGAACTATCCAGTCCCACCACCAGCTGTTCTGTCTCATTCTTGTGACAGCAACATTGCTTTAAAAAGGTTAATAAAACACACAAAGGTCCCACTGATAAAAGGGAGAAAAGGTTCTTTACCTGCATCTTCTTCATATTTACAAGAATGGCTTTGGATTCTAAACTCACGTGGTGAGAGCTAGTTCCATGGATGCCTCATTCAGAAGAGATAGAGTGATAGATAGATGATAGATAGATAGATAGATAGATAGATGATAGATAGATAAGAGAGAGAGAAGGAGAGAGTATGTGTGTGTTTTGCAAGGAACCACAAAGTGTATTTATCCCTATCCGTTGGTTTCAGCCCTGCCCTCTGCTGAATGGAGGCATGCAAGTTTGCTTAAAATCAACAAATGTCACCTTCACCTTTGCTGCATGCTAAAATTTTCTTTGCAGGGCATTTAGCTCAGCTCTGTTTATTAACAATATACCCACGACCTAACCATGTTGACTCTTGCTCTTGTTGTTGTCCGCCCCGTCCCCCACCATCGCATCATTAAGTTTTGCAGATAGAGGGTTAAAAACAAAAACTTCACAGGTCATTGCATTCATAGGAGGATCCCTCTCACATGCACAGACACCATCCTTTAAATCTCCTTCTCCTTTGTGGCAAAATGCAAAAGAGGATATAATCTGTTGGGGAGCTGGAATCTGAGAATTGGCCTCCTGAGGTTTGATCATGGTGCTGGAGATGAATGGAGATGTATCAACTCTGGCATCTCAAAGCTATGCAATTTGCTGTGGGAGAGAGGAAGGACTGGTGGATTCAGTGGAGGATGGGACAGAGACCTTTCAGTTTCTATTAGAGATGAGAATTCAGCCAAGCAGGCAGGAATAACTCCCCAAGTCCAAGAACGAAAACAAGGACTGCAGGTTCTTCTCTCGTTATAAAGACTGAAAGAGCCAGTTGCCATCAGCTGTAGGATACAGTCCCATTAAAAACGAGGATTCTCAGGAGGAAACTTCCCAGGTGAAGAGAGACAGGCATGCACAAACACCTTTGCTGCATCATATATATTTTTTACCTACCACCATGCAATTTGGGGGAAATACCGCCACTGCCCGTGTAAAGTAAAACCTGTCAGTGCCCATGGTATCTTCCCAATTCTCCCATTGCAGATGCTATTCGCAGTCTCCCCCTCTTTTTTAAAAAAAGGTTTTAAATTAACATTTAAATTATTTTCAATCCTTTCCTTGACTACATTTCCCTAATAATCATTTCTTTCATGATTGCGTCCCTCTCCTTATAATTGTAGCATCCCTCCCACTTTCTTTTGATTTCCTTTGATGCTCATTTCTCCCTCCATTCTTTCTTCAGTGAAGCTTAGCCCTCCTCTTGCCCTCTGGATCTAACTCCCTTCCACAGGTTAGTAGCTATTGATCCAACCATTCTTTTTCATCTTACTTCAGAAATTATTAAAGACTCTGCTGCTTTTACCTATCAACAGCCTCTTGGACTTCAGTTTTGTCCTATTCCTAGGTCAATTGTTTAACTCCCTTTTCTTCTCATGCTTTCCCATCTTATCCTTTTCTCTCTAACTCATTCCTCCTTCTGAGAGGCATTTGTTTGCCTTCTGTGAGGGCAGGAAGCAGCTACTCATGATTGTCATATGATCTCTTGTTTCAGAGCCAGCATGCTCTAGTGGGTAAAGCGTTGAACTAGTGCCCAGGAGATCAGGGTTCAAATCCCCACTCATCCATGAAGCTCACTGGGTGACCTTAGGCCAGTCACTGTGCCTTTCAGCCTAACCTACCTCACAGGTGTCTTGTGGGGATTAAATGAGGAGGGGTAGAACCATGTTTGCCACTTGGAGCTCCTTGGAGAAAAAAGTGGGCTATAAATACATAAAATAAGTAAGATGGTATCCTTCTTGCACCTGAACAAATCATATGCATGGGTGTGCCAGAGGGTGAATGCTGAGGTGAAGGCTAGGCAAGGGAAACATTCTGGCCCATATCATAGATGCAAAAAGGACAGAAGGCCACAATGGTTGTCCCAGACTGAGACAGGATTTTGGATCTAAGGAAGGAAAAAGGGAATGGGAGTACAAGAGCAAGAGAATCTTGTTTGGATGAAGCTATAGAACAGAGGGTGACAGCAGCCACAAAATTAAAAGACGCCTGCTTCTTGGGAGAAAAGCAATGACAAACCTAGACAACATCTTAAAAAGTAGAGACATCACCTTGCCAACAAAGGTCCGTATAGTAAAAGCTATGGTTTTCCCAGTAGTGATGTATGGAAGTGAGAGCTGGACCATAAAGAAGGCTGATCGCCGAATAATTGATGCTTTTGAGTTCTGGTGCTGAAGGAGACTCTTGAGAGTCCCATGGACTGCAAGAAGATCAAACATATCCATTCTTAAGGAAATCAGCCCTGAGTGCTCACTGGAAGGACAGATCGTGAAGCTGAGGCTCCAGTACTTTGGCCACCTCATGAGAAGAGAAGACTCCCTGGAAAAGACCCTGATGTTGGGAAAGATGGAGGGCACAAGGAGAAGGGGACGACAGAAGACGAGATGGTTGGATAGTGTTCTTGAAGCTACCAGCATGCGTTTGACCAAACTGCGGGAGGCAGTGGAAGACAGGAGTGCCTGGCGTGCTCTGGTCCATGGGGTCACGAAGAGTCGGACATGACTAAACGACTAAAACAACAACATAGAACAGAGAGGAAACAAAAGGGAATTGCTATGAACTCCTCAGCCCCTTCAGGATCCAGCATGAATTTGGCAGCCCCAAATGGACCAGAAAGAGGAGGAAGACCCATTGGCCCATCTAGCTCAGTATTGTCTACACTGGGTGGCAGCAGCAGTCCAGGAGGTTGCCCCCCCCCCCGGGCCGTCTGCAGAAACCAGACTCTGAATACCCATTCAGTACAGATCATTTTGAGTGGAGTCGTATTCTCCTGCCAGGGAAAAGAACGCTGGTGGCCGTGGTCCAATCCGCAACAAATTGCCTTTGTTCTTCCAATTAATTTTGCCTTCCACTTAGTGTGCAGCACATGTATAATTAGCTCTCCGAAATGAGAGGGAAATGTTGTTCTGGAAAAAAGCGTATGAAATACCCCAAAGAGACCGTCCAGCCGGCTCTCCCCAGTGTTCTCCATCATATCTGTTACCACTTTAATTACCAGCGAGCTGCCTTGTTTAAAGTTATTTTATGGATGAGGCCTTCCCCACTAATAGGAAAGCGGCAATGTAGAAAAGTGGTGGGAAGTGTCACAGAAACTGCATTTTTCTGTATGGATCTGACATTGTGCATGTGCTCCCTTTAGCTGGGTCAGAAAACCCTGTGGTGTGAATGTCTGGATATAACATCCTTGTGGTGGGTGGGCGTGGGGAAAGAAATCAAAACATAAAATGTTTCTATTTGGAAAAACCTTGGCTGGCGTTTTCAAGTGTTTTACTTGAAAACTCAAGCAGACCAGTTATTCCCTACCTTTTAACATGCAGTACATCTGCTATATAGGCACTGTGGTGTAGTAGTTGGACTAGGATCTGGGAGAAGAGGGTTTGAATCCTCAGTCATGAAGCTCATTCAGTGACCTTGGACCAGTCACTGTCCCTCACTCTAACCTACTTCATGGGATTTATGTGAGGGTAAAATGAGGATAAGGAGAACCATGTACACCACCTTGAGTTTGTCCTCCTCTATCCTCCCCATCAGAATGCCAAGTTAACCCAGTTTCTGCACCAATGAAAGCTGCATTCTAACAGCCACAGATTTTGCCTGTAATTCTGGGAGATATGTGCTGCTCATGTCTCCTAATCTAAGACTCCAACTGTTTCAGTTTCCTTGATTCAATTCTCTCAGTTGCAGCAAGCTCTAGAGAACATCTCAAAAACATCCATTCTTCCCCCACTTCTGCTCTTATTGTCAATTGTCAGTCTAACAACTGTTTTAAACACAAACACACTCCCCCATGTCCAACTGACTGGTACAAGTTTATGGGAATTTAGGACTAATGTTAGCTTTCTCTCAGATTCCCTTTTGTCCTCTTCTTATAAAAGGTTTTCAGAATTTTCGGCAGTGGACTCTCTCGGCTACATCTTTGTTAATAATCTCACTTCTGATTTTATCCTGCCTCCTTTTAAACTGGCTGGATACATATTTACTACAGTCTTCCTCAACCTGGTGCACTCCAGATATTTCAGAGTAGCACTCTCATCAGCCCTGGACAGCTCAGCTTAGCTAACTGGGACTGATGGGAGTTGGAATGGGGGTTACCAATGTTGTGCCTTCCAGATGCTGTTGAACTACAATTCTCATGTTGGCTGGGGCTGATGGGAGCTGTAGTCCAACATCTGGAGGGCATCACATTGTCCACCCTAAACTAGAAGATGACAAATTAGATGAGGTTTCATTTGCTACATATATATTTCACCTTCATCCAATGGCATTCAGGGTTACTAAAGCAAACACAATTTTTAAAGAGTAGATTGGTGGCCTCTTTAGATCTAGATGTTGTGGGACTCCAACTCCTATCAGCTTCGGCTACCATGGCCAATGATCAGGAATGATGAGAGCTAGGGGTTCAACAATGTCTGGAGGGCACAGCATTGGTTATCCCAGTTTTAGATACTGATGCAGCCTACTCTAGTGATTCCCTCTCACAATGGAACAATCACAAGTTCTTTTTAAGCTCCTGATCATTCCTGTATCACCACATCCTTACCTGCCCCATGTCACATATGATGTCAGATATGGAGTGGGTAGATGTGATTGTGGGAAAACAGCTACGGATCAGGATCCGTGCCAGGCCAGATTGGCCCACTGTCTGGAGGCTCCCTATCTTTATCCTAGAGCTCTATGGCCTGTTCTGTCTTCCCTCAGGGTATCCTGTGTCCTGGCTCCTATTTGAAGATCATTGACTTACAGCATAATTGTTGCCAAGGTGTTTATTCCAGAATCCATTACAATGCCCAGATGTAGATCAGACTACAGGGTACACAATTCAGAAGTTCATAGCAGAGCTCTAGGATACATGGCTAGTGTAAGACATTAGTGTAAGACATTGTCTCAGCATTTGACATGCCCCACGAGCTCCCCCTTTGAAGAGTGGGGAGCCTTGAAAGAGTGCAAGCAAACAAGTGCTCCTGCAAGTAGGCTGGACTTGCTCATGCTGGTGCAGCCAAGCACTGCATCCTTGGAGATGAAGGCAAAGTTGATAAATTTGGTTCACTGTCTGATCCAACCTCAGAACCTCCTCAGAGGAGTGGTGCGCTTCTATGATGAGAGGCAGTGCCAAAGACAAGTCAGGTAGCTGCTCCTCAGTTCTCAGGATGTCTGATGGTACCTTTATTTGACAACTGGCTCAGTCCCTCCCTGGTGTACAGATCAATATCTCTCAAACCATTGGGCCCCACTTCAAGATCCACTTCCATGTCCTCATTGTTCTGCTCAGCCCTATGAAGTTGTTTCCATGGGACTAATGACACCCAAAAATTTAAGTTACCCCTGGAAAATTGGCTGCCATGACAGTATTTTCTGTCTTTTGGTGGGCTTATTAGAAGCCGATAGCATAAGCTAAGTTGATGTACACCTTCCTGACTTTTCCTACTAAAAGGAGGTTCACATCCCATTATTATTGTTTTGCCACTTTGCAGAGTTCATTCTGCTTCTATAAGCTGCTGAAGAGCATAACAATTTATGCAAAACAACAACAAAGAGTTTGAGTGCAAATTTGTTTCCTCCACAGAATTTTATGCAGACAACAGAATCCACCTCTCCATGCCATTATAATCTGAGTATCCTTGGACTAGCTTTTTTATGACAACACAGACCACAAACTGGAAAGGAAGAGAGTGGAAGAGACATAATTGCGCACTATCATTACTGAGCACTAAATGAACCCCATGGAGCATAATGCAGAGAAGCATACTTCCTCATGGTGCCTTTAGTTCCCCAGGGGGGTCTGTTAAGTACTTTGTAGTTCTCTGTGCCAGCCTGAAAAGAAGCCACCACTGGGAGTAGAGCTTAATGTCCTAATTCCCAAATCATTTAGAGCAAGAAATATGTTCACTCTTGACTCATGGGGAAGCAGAAATGTACATATCAGAATTCAGGATGGGATGCCAGATAAACAGATAACAACTAAAGAGTCTCCAGTGCCTTTTATCAACCAGGCCGCATATATGATTTATGGATAACTAGCGATAAAACGTTAAGGGAGTTTTGCTCTGGAAGCAAAGGTATTTTGGCCAAGGAGGAGCTGTCCAGTGCTGAAATCCAGGCAATTGTTTATAGCCTAAACAAAAGCAACCTCACTCTACTCGTGGCCCTCCACATTTTGTGGAACTACAACACCCATCAGCCCCAGGCAGCATAGCTAATGGCAAGATATTATGGGAGGTGTAGCCCAACATCATATGGAAGAAATCTGACCTAGAGCATTGGCACTGAAGAAAAAGGGCCAATTTAAAGGCAATGGCTGTGTGCTCCTCTTCTGCCTCCTATTGTATGCATGGCTTAGTGGAGAGGGGAGGTAGGAGACAATGCAGCTCTGAGCCTTTTTCATCTGCTAGAGCTCCGGGATAATTGATGGGCCCCTTTTCTTGTGACAAATGATCCATGACCCATTATCACCCCCACAAAGAGCAGCAGCAGTGTTTGTGTGTGTGTTTGTGTGTGTGTGTGTTCGTGTGTGTAATTATATGAAATGTATTAAGATCTGTGTAACTGCTATCCTATGCCTACTGTGAGTCAGCTCAACTGAACTCAGTGATGCTTATGTCTGATAAGTCATAGTTTTAACGAGAGATCTGTGGCTTGCCGAGGTCCAGTATAGCCTCTCTTGTAAACACGTTACCATTTACATTGTTAGGGTGAAAGCAGGGACCTCATTAAAAAAAAGAGGAAAGAAGCAACCAACCTATGTTTGATTTCTCCCCTCATTCTTTGACTTGCTTGTTATGTTAACCTGTCACAAGAAACTCAAAAGCCTTGTTATCACCTCAATTCATTTGCTGAAATCAGTGGACTAGCTTAGAGGACACAGGGTAGGCTATGTAGCACACACAGCTCTTCTCTCCTACGCCTTACCCTGCTGCCCATCCCCAGTATCTGCTGCCTTTGGCAGCTGCCTCACTCTGCCTAATGGTTGGGTTGGCTCTGCTCAGAGTTCAGGCAAATTGTTTCAAGTTCAGAGGCTAGTAGCCCCTCCGCTACTCCTTGAGAAGCTTTGCACAGAGGCCTTTCTCATTTTGCCTGGAGGGAGGGTTTCATCACAACCGTGCAAGGCCCACTCATGGTTGCTGCAGGAAACATCTAAGAGGTAGGGTTATAATCTCGTCCTGGGTGTCTGCTGTTGCCTCCTTTGAATCACAGCCCAGATATGGCGGCTGCTTCCTTTTCAGTACTCTTCTTCCCCTGTCCTTCATCTTTCACATGATTTAATTTCAAAAGAGCCACAGAGAGAGAGAGATCACAGCAAGCCTCGAGCCCCTTCGGAGCAAAGCAGAGGTTCAAACGGTGGTGTACAGAAGGATTTGTTGAGCCCTGTTCACTTCCTTAATGGTAAACACACTGCCTAGTTTAATGATCACATTTCAAATCCACATGTGGCCCATTAAAGTGGTAACATCAAAGCTTCAGTGTAAGAAGGCAACAAGATAAATAATTGGAACAGACTCTGTTTTTTTATTAAAAACAAGAAACAGGGACATTGTGCACTAGAGGGCAGTATCTGCCATAAAACTGCAATCCGGATTTATGCTTCTAGAGGATGAGAAACATAAAATCAGCTATGGCCAAACTCCAAGGAGAGGAAAACAGATGTCCCTTTGTGCCAGGAACCAGAACTGTCATAGGAAGATAGGAAACAGCCTCAGCCCAAGTCAGGCTACTGAAACACCTGGCTTGGTATTGTCTATACTGACTCACAGTGGTCCTCCAGGATTTCAGGCAAGGATCTCTCCAAGCCCTACTTGGAGATCACAAAGGGTAGATCAGGTTAATATGTCAACAGAGCTGGATCACCCATCAGGGATTACTTGGGTGAGCAGGTGAGTTTTAAGCAGGTGCCTAAATGTCAGTCATGAAGGCTTCCGCCTATTCATTGGAAACACATTCCAGGAACTGGTGCTGCCACACTAAAGGTCCTACTCTTAGTGTAGCATACAAATTTGCTAATAAGAAAGGATGGCAACCAGTCATGGAAGAACAATGCCAAGGGAATTTGAGTGCAATTAAAAAGCAAACAAATTTAAATCAATCTATGCTTTCCAAATTGAGGGTTTAGATGACCCTCTTCTCCCCAGTTGTGGTTGCTTTTCAACATAGGAATGTTAAAATAAAAGCTGCCAGTGTGGTGTAGTGGCTAGAGTGTTGGACTAAGACCAGGGATGCCAGGGTTTAAATTCTCACTCAACCATGCAGCTCATTTGGTGAGCCAGATTCTTAAGCTTAACCTCCCATGGTTCTTGTAAGCATAAAATGGGGAGGGAGAAAGCAAAGCACACTAACTTGAGCTCCTTGAAAGAAAAGTGGGATATAAATAAAACAAAAACAACTCCACTTGAGAAGTTCAAATTACTCAGATTCACAAACGAGTTTTGTATATTCAGTTGTAGCTCAGTGGGTTTTCATTGCAAAGAGCTGGTGCACCCAGCTAGGTGTCATGGAGCGCTGAGTAATCAGAGATCAAGTGGTGTTTCTGTGTGTGTGAATCAGGGCTGACTGTAATTGTGGAGTACATTGTTTTTGGTGTGGGCTGATTACCATCAGCTCTGTGCTATTGCTTTTTTTACTTCAACTGATGAACTGCAAAAGAAACATCAATTGCAAACTTGATGTTTCCAGGCACAATTCAAAGTGTTGGTGCTGACCTTTAAAGCCCTAAACGGCCTTGGCCCAGTATACCTGAAGGAGCGTCTCCACCCCCATCGTTCTGCCCGGACACTGAAGTCCAGCGCTGAGGGCCTTCTGGCGGTTCCCTCACTGCGAGAAGCAAAGTTACAGGGAACCAGGCAGAGGGCCTTCTCAGTAGTGGCACCCACCTTGTGGAACGCCCTCCCATCAGATGTCAAAGAAATAAAAAACTATCAAACTTTTAGAAGACATCTGAAGGCAGCTCTGTTTAGGGAAGCTTTTAACATTTGTTGAATCATTGTATTTTAATATTCTGCTGGAAACCGCCCAGAGCGGCTGGGGAAAACCAGCCAGATTGGCGGGGTATAAGTAATAAACTATTATTATAATATTATTATTATTACTTGTAATCTCAGGGGCAAATGGCACTTAATACAAGAGATCTGTGATCAGAATTCCCATTCTAGCTTTTTCCACCCCACTCTGCCCTGCTTTAGCTAAGGAATGAGGAACCTGTGCCCCTACAGATGCTGTTGGACTCAAAGTCCCATCATTCCCAGCCAGCATGTTAAAAGATTTGGGGTGATGTGAGATGTCGTCAGTAGCAGGCAGTGTAGTGATAGTGGTGTTCACCTAACCCGACAGTCACATCTGCTTCCTGGGGAGGTGGAGGGAGGTCATCGAGGTACAAACACATTGGCAGAATCAATCTGGCACTCCTGCTGATGTGTTTGAACTGCATGAAATTCCACACTTCCTCACCCTTCCTTCTCTAGTTCCTGGTAACCATCAGAGGCTCAACTGTCAGGAGGTTAGGTGAGCACAGTTGCCCCACCATGCCATCTGCTAATGGGTATGGAATCCTTCAGGCAAACCAAGAGCAAACAAGGGTTACAGTTTATGGTTTTTCTCCAGTGAGACAAACCATGGGCCTAACTTTGGACAGCACACTAAGCCAAACCCTGATTTAGCTCACAGTACCACTGGAGGAGCAATGTGGCCACATTCTCCTCTCCAGAAATCAGTGTGCTCACATAAAGCTGGTTTATTGCTATTTGTGAACTGGGGCACTGTCACAGCATACCTGCCTCACATAAGCATGTAAGAGTAATCAATCCCTTTTCTCAGACCAAAGGCTTATCCGGCTCAGCATTCTGGTAAAAAATGGCCAGCAAGATGCCCCTAGAATGCTCAGAATCAGAATGACAAAGCAACAGCCCTTCCCCACTGTTTGCCCGCCAGCAACAGGTTAAGAGGTATAGGGCCTCTAAGCATGGAGTTTCCATTTAGCTATTATAGCTATTATAGCTAATAATATAATGCAGGAGCCTAGCTGGATCAGACAAAGGGCCTATCTTGTCCAGGATCCTGCAGCCCACACTGGATGACCAGGTCCCCCCTGGCCACCCCAGACCCCATGGCAGAATAATTATTCACTGTGGAGACTTCCAACCAAATGTTAATCACTAAAGACACAAGATCCGCAGAGTGCATGTCCTACACACAAATCTAGCCTTATTTTAGAGCAATTTCAGCATTTTATTAGACAGTTCTAACAGGACTGGAAAGTCTAAGGCTGGTGGTACACAATGCATTTTCTCCTATCTCCCTTTGCTTTCTTAATACAGCTTAAGAGGACTTCCTTGGCACCTTGAGTATTAACAGTGTCCACGTTATCACCACAACAGACATGAGATGTTTTATGAGTGGCACAAACAGATGGTGAATGACAGATGATGCTGAGGGGTGGAGAAGTATCTTGCATGTTTTCGACAAGGTGGGGAGTTATTACAACTTCCAGCTAGTCACCCCCCAAAATCCTATCTTCCTCTCTTTATTTCTTGGTGCCCAGCCAGATGGGTGGGGTATAAATAATAAATTATTATTATATATTATTATTATTAACAAATGTTCAACTCCTAAAGTGGTTCTACTGCTGGGAAAATATATAAATGAGAAGGTTCCCAATGTCTTCTAGAGCCCCCTATAGCTATTACCTTGAGTGGATAAAGACCTCTTACGGACCAATATGTGGCTCTTTCAGTTACAACTACGTAGATGGACTCTCACCTGGTTCACATCAGACTTGCTGAGTCTTTTCACAAGCAGGCCAGTTAAATGGAGGGGCTAACCAGCAAGAGCAATTGACATATAACCTGGCCTGTCATGGGACAGGTCCTCTCTGTGCTATCAGCAGCTAAGATTCAAAGCAAACATGCATGGGAGCTTATCATATGCCCCATCTGCATGGTATGTTTTAAGCAGTATCATGCCACTTTAAACAGTCAGGGATCCCCCCAAAGAATCCTGGGGATCATAGCGTTCCAGTTGTTATGAGACCCCTTTTCCCCTCCCAGAGCTACAATTCCCAGCATGATTTATCAATCAATCTCTTCCCAGGGAACTCTGAGGCTATACTGTATAAGTATGTTGACGCAAAGTGTAGTGGATTCTTAGGCTGCAATCCTAATACACTTGTTTAGTAGCAAGCCCCACTGAACAGCGGGATTTTCTTCTGAATAAATATGTATAGGATTACACTGTTTAAGAGTTCTAGTCTTCCAGCTGTGGTTGGGAACTCCAGCCAGCATGACCAATGGTCAGGAACAATGCAAGTATGTGGTAAGGCCAGAGCTTCCCAATCTCTAGCATAAGCAAATGTTATATTTGCATTTACGTTTATCCTGGTGCAAATGACATTTGCTTTGTAGCGTGCTGGATTGGGGTTGCGGCTATCTTGTGCTAGAGCACCTACCTGCAGCAATAGGCCCTGTCTCCTTTGCTGCACTCCGCTGGGATATAAGATCAATCAATAGCAAGATCCTTGACCAGTGATTATTAAAAGTGACTGGTGGAATTCCCTTGGAGGGCACAAGACACATGGAAAAGAGGGAGTAGTGATTGAAGGTGCAGGAAAGGATATGATCCTGAAGCAGGCGGGCTTATTTTTCAGTCACCAAGCCAAGACCCAAGTAGCCCCATGAAGCACAGGACCTTCACTGATTCACATTGGTTTTGGGATGGTCTTCACATCCAGCATCCCACTGAAAAAAGAAGGGAGCCCAGGATGAGCTGCTGGGATGTCCCAGTAATACTTCCCTTTTATTTTATGAGGAATGCAGAACCATCCACCCCCAAGTTAATAATAGGTTTAAACAGGTAATCTCCATACCTGGGAATAAACTAGCTTTCTAAAGGGATATCTCCCAAATGCAGAAGCCCATTCCCAGGGCAGCACTGCCAGCAGCTTACTGAAATATGAGCTTAATATATCATTTGTCCAAAACCACAAGCTGGTATCATGAAGAACACTGACTGATAATAAGAAAACTAAAAAGAAGAGTTATGGTTCATGCAGCCTAAATCCCCCAGAGCAGATTGCTTGTTGTATTAAATCCATTACTAACAGGGCAACATACTGGCACAATGACAGATTTTAGAACACAATGTTTTCATTCTTGTACTCTAGTCCACAAAAGTACCTTACAAACACATGACAAATTTGTTGTGCAGGCTGATGGAAAGGACTAGTCTTTAGCCACATCATTGAAAATAATTACAAAAAGGCCACAAGTAAAAATGTTTTCTTTTTCTTTTTAAAAGTGCGACCTCACAAAAGCCCACTCATAATGTTAGTATTTTCAATTCAATTCTTATCAAATTCTGCAATGCCATCAAATTCTGCTTAAACAACTGAAGTTTATAGAATGTGTTACTTTGAAAAACTGTGTGAAACCCACAAATACACAAGAAACCAGAATAGAAATTGTTCCAAATCTAGCTATACAAGGTACATTAAGAATGCAAGTTCTACAGCAGTAGAAAAATGCGTTTACATATTAGCAGTTGAAAAAAAGGAAAGAAAACAAAAAGGCTGTCTTCAAATCCCTGTAGGCTTGTAAAAACCGCTTCCTTCCAGCACCCATCGTAGATTATTGGCAAGCTGTTGAGGGGATTAAAAAGACACATTTATTAACAAGAATGCTACCAGAGAAAACTACCAATGTTCATAAGCAGTGTTAACAAAGTCTGCATCTAAAAATACTTTTAACTGAAAAAATAATGTAGCAAGTAGAGTCCAAGATTAGGACCAAGGTTCAAAAACACTACTCAGCTATGAAGTTGCTAGCCCTTGACCTTGTCCCAGTCACTTCCTCCCAACCCATCCTATCTCTTAGGGCTGTTATGAAAACAAACAAGAGGCAGAACTACATATGTAACCTTGGGGTTATTGAAGGAAAGAACACAAGGAGAGTCTGGCTACTGAAGCAGGGCCAAATCCCATGTGCTCCTACATTCTGTTCTCCCAGTGGCCAACCAGATGCCCCAATAGGAAACCCGCAAGCAGCACCTGAGAGCAAGACAACTCTCCCTGCCTGCAATTCCCAGCAACTGGGATATAAAAAGCAGGATATAAACACTATAAACAAGCAAGCAAGCAAATGTTCTGAACATGCAGCCCTTAACGTGGGAGGGAGGCAGGCAGTGTTAAATCTGAAAGGAAGTGTGGTTAGATGCTAGCAGTGAACACATTTTCTGAATGTGGATTATTCTTGTGTAGCCAAAACAGAGCCAGCCTAAATAATCCAGAGGCAGGGGAGAATTCTCAAGAAAACCTTGGGTGAGGGGGGAAATATGGAAGGAAGGAGAGGCTTCCAAAACAGCCCAAAAAGGACTAAGTATGCTCAGTGGTCATGGAATGACCAGCTGATTTTGTAGATGGTGAGGGGAGAAAATCAGGGAGAAAAATGTAATGGAATATCTTGGAGGTGGCCATGGGTGTCTGTCACACTGAACAGGAGCCCTCCACACTGCAACAGTTTGTGGTAGGTTCCACTTGTTTAAGAACCTTATTAACTAGCTTGCTGGACCACTAAGCCAGGCCCAACACTGGCCAGTGTGATTTCTCTGTAGCTTGCAAGCAGGGCATGAGGTGACAGCTGTATCCTGCCAGCTGGTATTCAAAGAGATATAGCTCTATAGGCTGTATTGCGCACAAGTGACTACTGTTACTATCAGCTGTTTCTAGCAACAAGACTCTTCTCCATGCAGCCACAGCTACACCTGGTGGCAAGAAGTGCCATCCATTTATTTCTTCTATTTACAACCTACTGCCAATAATACTCCAGGAAGTATTATTCTATTAAACTTAAGACACTCTGGAAAACTGGGGCATGGCACCCATCCAGATGTTTAGCAAGCCAAGGCCTATTTAGCTCTAGCACTGTATGCATCTGGTGTGTGAATCAGCTCCTGTTCTAAACAGAGGGGCAAAATGTTCCAACCTTTGAAAACAGACAGTCCAAGCCTAGCACTCTTTGATAATTTCAGACCCAATTCAAATACAGGACTACTTTTAGTTCTTTCTGGTAAAGGGGTGGTGAATTAGTAACTCACCAGATGCTGTTGGGTGCCAACTCAACCCCAGCATCATGGCCAATTATCAGGGACAATGAGAGTTGGGAGTCCAGCAACATCTGGAGGTTCATGGGTTCCCTACCCATTTTAGGAGGTATTTCCCCTCTCTCTTACCAGAAGAAGAAAGCAAAGCAATGTAAGATTGTGCTAATGGTGCAACCCATCTTCTCCCCTTCATCTGGGTTCCCAATCCACCAGCTGAAAGCCACTCTGCTTAGCCTGCCCGTTCCCACAGTCCAGAAAGATAGTTTCAGTTCCCAATATGTAGCCCTGCTTAACATGTTCTGAACTCATTTGAACATGATTCTCACTTGATGTTTTGGTAGCAGGTGCCTTGTTCTCGCCTTCCAGCTCCTCCACTCCAGCTTGCGTCATGAGATCTGCGATGTTCTTCTCCAGGTCGTCAATACGGCAGCTCATGTCATCAAGTGAACAGAGTTAAAGAAAACAGACTAGAGAAATGCAAAAGTGAAGAGACACCACCTGACCCTCAGAAAGCCTGATGTTTTTATAACTAAGTAAATTGGGCCTCATTATAAAAATCAATAATGAAGATTTCAATGTTAGGTGGAACTGGCACTGTTACAGAGCCCACATATAACACATCCTACACTTGTAAGAAATTGGTATTTTAGTGTGGCAGCACCTATGCTTTGGAAGTCTTGCTTATTGAGATCAGGCAGACGCCTTCACAGTACTCTTTTTGGTCCCTGCTAAAAATGTCTTTGTTTAGATATGCCTGCCCAGATATTTAAAATGTGGTGCATTTTTAGTTTATTGCTTGGTATTTTTTTTAAAAAAAATCATGAATGTTTTAAATTGATTTTACTAATAATTTTATTGTTTTATTCTCTTTGTAAACTGCTTTTTTACAATCAAGCAGTATATAAAAGTAAGAACTGCTCAGCACCTACTGAAGCGCTAACAGCTTTAGAACACAGTAACACAAGCCGGACATGAGGCCTCTTCTACAGTTGCTCCCAGATGACCAGTACTCATCAAGTTGTTATGGCTAGTAGCTATATGCCAAGAAATCATCATTCACTTCCTGCAATCCTGCCAGAATAGACAATCCTGGGCTGGGGGAGAAATAATATATTATCTGGTATATAACAGCCCTCTACCTTCCCTTCCTTTGTCCTCAAAAGTTAGGCTCCATCACATAATGTTTTAACCATCACTCACTCTTCCCAGGGAACTCGGGAAAATATAGCTCTGTTGAGGAGAGATGGCGTCTCCGAATATTTCTCAGCACTTTTAACAAGCTACAGTTCCTAGGATTATTTGGGAGAAGCCATAACTGTTGAAAGTGGTATGATACCGCTTTAAATATACAGCCTTTGGAGGAACCAAGTCATTTGGGGGATTTATAGAATTCATCCATTCTGTACATCACAGAGTGGCTGGGGAAACTCAGCCAGATGGGCGGGGTATAATTAATAAATTATTTTATTATTATTACATCACACAAAGAGCTCTGTTTAAAAGATGGAAAACCCAAAGGATATTCCGGCCAATAATCTGGTCAGACATGGTTTGAAACTTGTCCTGCATTTGCTGCAGCAGTGTCTGCACCTGAGGAGGGAAAAAAAAGTAGTGTTTTGCTTTAAACAGGAATTATTTGGGGCCACAGGATTTTAATTTCTTGGCCCCCAGGTGCAGTATTTAACCCAAAGGAGGCGTTTTGGCCAATACTAAGCTCTGCATGTGAAATGTATTCATCACAACTTCTGAAAGTGAACACTGGGTTCTGACAAAGATCCCAAGCATACTTGAGCTATGAAGCATTAAATGAAGTTCTGAAGGGTTAGTTATGTGAAAATATCTCTTCTTGTGGAAACTGCCAGGCTGGCAAATAGCAAATTATTAAGCGTGGCGGCAGCGGGGGGGGGGGCAGGCTTGCCAATCCAACAAATATAAAATTGCATAGGAGCATCACCACTGATAAAATATGATATATGGATGTTTCAATTTCTCTTGCTAGGGTGGGATCCCAATGAATAAGGATACAAAATGCATCCTGAAATATGTTTCCATACTGCTCTGGGCCCAATTCAACATTTTGTAGCCTGAGGTGGCCAAGACAGTGACTCCCCGCCACACCACATACAAAAGGTGACTGGACTGCAGCTGAATCCAACTTTAACACTGGTGACAGGATAGAATTGCCAACACTGGTATGAGGGCAGAGCACCAACTTAGCAAGCCAAGGGGTAGGGCATGCAACACACACACAGCCCTGCCCTCCAGAATCCTACACTGGCTCCCTGTCCCTCAGCATCTGCCCCTACCAACTACACTGTAGGAAGTACCCTAATGGAGTGTTGTATTCTAAATATTAGTATTAGTGAATCTTTGTTACTTCCAAACTGCCTGGGGAGGATCTGTGTTCTGAAAGGCAGGATGTAAATAAATTTGTTATGTACATAGTGTACATATAAGAAAAGGGGGGGGGCAGAATGTGTGTGTGTCTTGGGGCAGATTAAAAAAATACACAATATATACATTATATAATATCCATCACATATACATTTCTCTCTCTGGGGTAGTCATTAAAATAAACCGCACAGAGTAGCCCCCGCCCCAAATATCCATAGATGCCCCACCCGACCCCCAATCTCTGTAACAAGCAGAGCCCCCTCGGTTTCCATGGCAATCAGACCCGCCCTGACCACTCCTGCCCTCGTCTCCATGGCAACCCCCACTACTAGGTAGGCCCCGCTTCTCTCTTCTCCATGGCAACACACTCCCCCACTTGAGTGGCCCCATTCGGTCTCCATAGCAACCGAAATCCTTTCCCGCCCGCCCCGGCATTCCCCGCGGCTGCTTTTCTTGCCACCTCACCACGGCGGTGAGGTCTTGCACAGTCTTGGGGTCCGTCTCGGCCATGTCGGTCCTCTCCGTGTCCAGCCTCTTTCCCCTCTCCAGGCCCGACTCCAGAAGGCGCTTCCGGCCTCGCCTACGAGATTTCTCCGCCCTCTCTCGCTGCTCCGAATCCGGCTTCCCTGCCCCAGGCCTCGCGAGACAAAACGGACAGGACGAGGTCGAGAGATTGCAATGCATTGTGGGACTCGTAGTTCGCCCCGTTGGACGCCCTGACAGGTTTGTGTGCGTGTGTTTTGTTAATATAAATTATTTTCTTGTATGTGGTTGTGCTTAATTATTATTTTAAAATTGCGTTTTGGAACCCGTTCTGGTCAAGAAGCAGGATTAAAAAGAAAACCTTTCATAAATAGGAGTGGGGAAAGAGGCAGAGCCTTATGGGAAATGGAGTGTTTTTAACAATCCAGCGGAGTGGCCTCATAAGGGGCGAATAGGATTGTGGGGAATGTAGTCTCTTTGGTTCACAGAGGAAGGAACATTTAGGGCACTCACAGTCTAAATTCAAAATAGGAAACACGCGAAAGGTCGCACCGCTCTAGACCTTTCATTTCTTTGTTGACCTATCTTCTGTATCCTTTGCATTAGGAATCTTTAGAAGTCTTTAGGTTTGAGATCAGAAACGATCAAAGGGACTCCAGCAATGTGTGACTCTACTTTTTTTGCTATCTCTGTGGGACCAAGAGCTAGGAGATGAGCATTGTGGGAAATGGAGTCATGGGTGTATTGAAGGTGTCAGGAGCAGGCAGGTGTAAACTCAGAAGTGATAGGGTAGCCACTTGCACATCACCTGCCACCCAAAAGGACATTGATTTGCATAACATTTGCACCTACTAATTTATATTTATAGATGCAGATTTTAAAGTAAGTTCTACAATTGCTAGAGAAATAAAATATATTTTAAATAGAAATGCAATCATCTAACTTTAAGCTAGATTTGGACCAGAAAGCCCTTGAAATAGTGGACACCATCAGACAGAGAAATGTCTGTAAAGCAGGGTTGCCAAATTAGAAGCATCCCAGCTGCAAATAAAACATTTTGAATGTGTTGTAAAGTGCAATATACAATTGTGACACTAGATGGTGAATGTGAGCTATAGCAAATCTGATGCATTTTTCAAAACGATTTTTTTAAAAAAGCATTTTCACAATGTTTTTAACATGTGTGTAGATTCCACCCCAGACTGCGAGATTTCAGGACCCAAACCTGAGACCTAAGGGTACCCCCTCATGAAGTCATGGAGTGGTATCTGGAGATGGAGGTTAATTGAGAGATGGGAACAGAGGAGAGCAGACCCCCACCTCACCCCCACCCTTGGAGTACCTGTGCTATAATTTTCAGCCAGCTCCTGTAGCTTTCCACCCATAACTCAAATGCTGGGTATAACTTTCCAGTCGATTGAGATTTTTTTTCTTTTATCGTTTCCACCATCATTTTATTTTTTGCCTTCTCTATTAGATTGTATGTCACAGATGCAGAACCTGTGACCCTCCAGATGTTGTTGGACTGCAACTCCCATCAGCTCCAGCCAGCATGGCCAAAGGTCAGAGGATGATGAGAGTAGTGCAACGGCATTTGGAGGGCTACGGGATCCCTGTCCTTGGTGTATGCCATTGTTGCAGGAGATTGCCTTGATGCCATTCTGGTGCTGCTTAGAATGGGTGCTCCTTCTTCATCCTTACACAGATGGCACCAGCTGGCAGAAGTATGTGCACCATCTAAAAGCAAGCAAGCACTGTCCTAGACGGATATGCAGAGCAATCAATTAATTTGATTGAAACTAGAATTATAGATATGGGAGGTACATCTGAGATCATCTAATCCAATCCCATGCTGATAATGTTAATCAGCTGCTATGACATCCCTCAATGGTAGCCACCCAGCCTCTGTTTAAACATCTCTGACAATGAATCTGTTTTAGATTTATTTTCCTTGGGGAATCTTTTCCACGCTTGGTTAGTCAAAGAAGCATTGTCAGTCCATTTTTATTTGACCGCAGCACATGAAAGTTTGGAAACATAATCCTGCTGCTTATTTTGATGCTTTGAGTATAGACTTCCATGCTGTGCAGGTAATCTGGAATCAAAAGGGGAAGCCATCTGTACAAACAGTAGATTCTGCTGTGAAAGATTATCTGAGTAAGGTTATGCAGAGGTTGGGCACTGAAAACAATATATGTGATTAATGTGCAGTAGGGACTTTCCTTCAGTGTTATGTTTTATTATTTCTAATGCAAAGACGCCAGTTGATTAAAGAGTTTCTGTTTTTAATAGAAGAACTGCTACCTGCATTAAAAAAAAAAAAGTTGTGTTGCAATTGCTTTGGAAGGCAATCTGCTGAGGCCATTGATTCCTTTGAACTCATCTGCTGATATCATGTAGTCAATTGCCAACTAAGGCTACCACACATTTGTTGGAGGCTGTGCACGTTTTTCCATACCTCATCAAAGCAGCCTCTTTCATTGGGTTGCTTACTAAGCCCCTTTGTCTCTCCTACTTTATATCCTTTTAGTTAAAACTTAATTGCCACTTGCATTCTATTGATCTTTCTTAATACAGTTTGCTGCTTTGGGGATGCTGTTGTGCTCAACAAACCTATTCTTCACATTAACCTATAATCTTTTGTCTTCACTTAATTGCATCCCTGCAATAACGGGCTGGAGAAACAACTGTTCAAAGTTAGCATTCACTACAGAGATGTGAGTAGTCTAGATTTACACCCACTATAATCAATGCATACCGTCCAATATTTCTCCAATGAAAATAGGGACGTCCCATTCCATAATGATAATTTTACTATTTAAACCCCACACATCTTACTGGGTTGCCCCAGCCACTCTAGGCAGCTTCCAACATATATAAAAACATAATAAAACATTACACATTTAAAAAAACTTCCCTATACAGGATTGCCTTCAGATGGCTTGGGGTTCAGATAACTCCATACCCTCCAACATTTCTCCAATGAGAATAGGGACATCCTAAGGAAAAGTGGGACATTCCAGGATCAAATCAGAAACTGTGACGGCTTTTCTAAATCAGGGATGTCCCTGGAAAATAGGGACACTTGGAGGGTCTGTCAATGGAGTTATATTTCTTGCATGTGGAGGAGTAGCAAAATAATAGTCAGAACTCAATTTGGCTACTATCTATTCTAGAAACATCACCACCTTTGTCATCTTTCTTATAATGTGCCTTATCTGCTTAAGTGTGCACAGGACACAACTCAATGTAGCCTACAAATCCAGATTCCTATATGGCTAACTCATTCTGTGAGTGTGGACCCTTTTGTAGCCAAAACAGCCCACTCTCCTTGCACAAAAGAAAGTTATCAGTGTGTTTGTGGGAACCCCTAGTATAGCACAGGTTAAAAAAGAAATTGGAGAAAAAACTTTGCAGAAGGGATCTGAAAACATGCTCATTAGGCACAGAATGCTGACTGGCAGTGGAAATCACAGGAGAGGGGAAATGGAATGGAGTATCTTGGCAGGGGGCTGGCTGGCCAGCAGACAGGCTGGCACACTGAACTGGAGCACTGCACATTGCAGCTTTTTGTTGCAGGCCCCACTTATAAACCATTAACAATCAAATCCCCAAAGTCATACTGAAACCCAGAGAGCTGGCACAATCCCCAAAAGGGAAACAGGAAAAAAATAACATCCCTAGAATGCTCTAGAAATAAGGCAAATTTTGACTTGATGTGTGCTGAAGAAGAAATGTGCAGAAGCCAGATGAATATTTTTGAGGAGGTGTCATACTCCAGGGGATGCCCCCAAGGGACCAGTTACAGCATACTGTATATAATACTTCACCAAAGTACTCATCAATGAGGACAGGGTTGCTGGTGCAGCACAGTCCAAACCAAAAGGATGAGCGGCAAATAAGGTAACTCCTGGTTCAGATCTCATATCCGCTGTAAGTAGGCTTAAGCAAGCTTCTCTCTCAGCCCCCCATCTGCAATATATTACAGTGGTACCTCAGGTTAAGTACTTAATTCGTTCCAGAGGTTCGTTCTTAACCTGAAACTGTTCTTAACCTGAAGCACCACTTTAGCTAATGGGGCCTCCTGCTGCTGCCGCACCGCAAGAGCACGATTTCTGTTCTCACCCTGAAGCAAAGTTCTTAACCCGAGGTACTATTTCTGGGTTAGCGGAGTCTGTAACCTGAAGTGTATGTAACCTGAGGTACCACTGTACTTTATAGCAGTGGTAGCCAATGTGGTGTCCTCCAGATGTTGTTGGGACTCCAAGGAGTCCAACATCTGGAGGGCACAATGTTGATTACAGTGGTACCTTGGGTTACATAAGCTTCAGGTTACATAAATTTCAGGTTACAGACTCCACTAACCTGGAAATAGTACCTCAGGTTAAGAACTTTGCTTCAGGATGAGAACAGAAATAGTGCTGCGGCAGCGGGAGGCCCCCATTAGCTAAAGTGGTGCTTCAGGTTAAGAACAGTTTCAGGTTAAGAACGGACCTCCGGAACAAATTAAGTTCCTAACCCGAGGTACCACTTTACTCCCATGTGTAAGGCTTATAAGCAGATGAGGTGTGTGCTTGGAACACCTGAAAATGGAATGTAGATTGTAAGCATCATCATTATCACCATTATGCTGAAGGTGGGCAAAAGGATATACAAGAACCTTGGCTAATACTGACATTCACAAACCTAAATGCTGTCCAGGTTTGCTCTGTATTCATCTAAGAAGGTCTCTGAGAAAAGCAGAGCATCCGCTGATGTAATTTAGGATAGTGTTGAGCTTGGGGGGGGGGGGATCATCGGCTGAATGTTACCCTGTTCCTGAGCTCTTAAAACCCTGTCCCAGATGGAATTAACCTGGGTTGACATGACATTTGAGCAATGCCGCATTCTCTGCTTTATCACTTCAGTTCGTTTCCTATATGTTGTTGCTGCTGCTGCTGCAGTAGCAGCTGTCCTCAGATGGGCACCTGGGAGTTTGCCATCTCCTGATGCCCAAAGGCACCCTGAAGGAAAGACAGAGAGAGATAAAAAGCAGCAGCAGGATATATGCATATATTTATTTTGTACCGTCAATATCATTTCCACCAGTGATCATATGCGGGAAGTAGGGGTGGGGGCAAGGACTACTATCCTCAATGGCTATGTTTTGCCTTCACTGTCATATGCGTCTGAATACCAGCTGCTGGGAATCACAAGTGGGGAGAGCGCTGTTGATCTGTGGACCTGTTTTCAGGCTTCCTATTGGGCTATCTGACTGGCCACTATGAGAACAGAACGCTGGACTAGATGGGCTCTTGACCATGATCCAGCAGGGCTCTTCTTATGTTATTGTGACCCAACAGGATTCATTCTGTGTCTAGAGGACTGCTTTAATCACTCTAAACAGAAAATGGATTTGCACACCACCACAAAGTGCACATTCTTTCAAAATGCAGTTATCTTGAGGGTAATCTGGCAAGCACTGCATGTGGGAGGTGGGCAGAGATGTTAGTGGGTTGAGTTTGCAGGATTGCATGGTTTACTCTGCATCTATCTCTCTCCCTACCTACCACACTTTTTCTTCCCCACCACCACCACAGTACAATTTCCCCCTTCAGTGCTTCCCATGGACTGCAAGGTTGGGGAATCTTTGGCCCACAAGCCAAATTGGGCCTAGCACAGATCTGTGTTTGGCCCACAGATCCATTTTTCCCAAACCATAAAAACCTGCAACCTGCAGTGTTGCAAGTCACCACCCATCAGCTCTCTTGTTCTAAGGCAGGCTTCCTCAACCTCGGCCCTCCAGATGTTTTTGGCCTGCAACTCCCATGATCCCTAGCTAGCAGGACCAGTGGTCAGGGATGGTGGGAATTGTAGTCTCAAAACATCTGGAGGGTCGAGCTTGAGGAAGCCTGCTTTAAGGGATGCTAATTGGAATGCTCTTATTGCCAGAGAAATATTTCTATTAAGTGTCATGCTGCACAGTTCTAAAGCCGGACAGTTTGTTCAATACTAACATCTCAAAAGGGAAATTACATTACTGCATTTTGTGCAAGAGAAGCAGCATTTTGGTGATTACTTTTAGATCTGCTAGATGCCACTGGCACGTAATTTATCTGTGCTTTGTGTAGTTGGTGCTGCGTGTCTTGTGTAGCAACTAAACTGCAGAGTCTGTAAGCTGCCGTTTATGATTCCCGCATAAGAGTAAGATCTAGCAATTCAGAAGGTTTCTTTAAAACAAGAATCCTGCTGTGAAACTGTGTTTTACATAAGAACCTCTCCAGGGAGGCGCATTGGTGCGCAAGGAGATTGGAACTGGAGGAAAAAGTTCTGCAAGGTCATTCCTTCCCTAGAAGCCCTGATTCCCAACATTGTGCCGGTGGGTTCAGTGGTGCCTTAGAAGTCATCCCTGGGAGCCTTAAAAGACTCTAACCTCTTCCACTCCCTGCCCCCTTGGTCATGAGGTGGTGAATGTGGTTATGTTTTTCTTCCTTGAATAGTACATAGAATTGAAGGAGAACATTGGAAGAGTGGTGCTCTTTCTTTCCCACTTTCAGCTCTATGTGCTTTTCATGACTCAGATAAATTCTGCTGGATCTGACTTTTGCCCAGATCTCTTGGGAAAGCTGAATGGGGCTGGGGCTGTGTGTGCGTGCGCACACACGTTTTCTCTCTTAGTGTCTCATGGCATGGCGGCTGATCTGAGGTAGTGGGAGATAAATGACCAGAGGGGGTGGCACACACAATACTCACTTAGATATCCAAATTTGCCTGTAGGGCTGAAAAGGTTGGTAACCCCCTTGACTGCTGGCTGATTTCTCTTCCATGCTCTGTCTCAACTTCCTACTTTGATTCTTCATCCAAGAGGTGAAGATTTTGTTCATAAGTGTATGGAATGATTTTGTTCTTCCCTGTATTTCATGTCACATGCAAGCTGCAGAAGATGAGGGGCTCAGTTGAGAGACTACCAGTTTTTTGCACCTGTCCTTGAAATTTTCCATCCTGGCTGGTTAAAAGAAGAACCTGTAACTAAGAACTTGTCCCCAAATTTGTCCTCCTCCCTCCAAATCCATTTCCCTTTTGTGCCATGTCTTTAGATTGTAAACCTGAGGGCAGGTTTATTGATCTGTAAGCCACTTTAAGAACCCTTTTTGGCCAAAGAGCAGGCTAAAAGTTGTTTAAAAATAAGATATACAGTGGGCCCTGCAAGAAACAATTCCAGTGTCTGTTCATGCTCTTATCCAACAGCTCATTCCATTCTCCTCTCCCAGAATTCCATGGTTTGTTCAGTCCTCATTAAGCTGTTGTGGGGCATCTGTTTTGTGTGCAGAAGTTCCCCAGCTCAAATCACAACATCTCTAGTTAGGGCTGGGAATGTCCCTCATCTGAAACCCTGAAGACCTGCTTCTAGTCAATGTGGACAATACTGAACTACATGAACTAATGGTCTGACTCAGAGTAAGCCAGCTTCCTCTGTCTTGGTGGTGGTTTGTTTTGGTTTTGGTTTTTGCCACTTCAGGTTTTTGCCACTTCAGGTTGTCCCAGTGCCTCTCCATATCCCAGTGGCCACATTTTAGCTCCATTTCTGTTGATACTCACCACCTGAAGTGATCTCCTATTCTATCACGAAAAAGCTGAGAAAGGTCAAGGTGTCTGAAGGTGCACAAAGCTTGTGGCAGTGGAGATATTTGGAAGTGGCACTTGCAAATATTTCAGGTTCTGAAATATTTGCAGGACGTGCCATCAAACCCTGGGAAAGCATTTTCAGATGACACTCACCATTTTCTTTGTTTCGTCTCGGCAACTCAAATCAAAGGAATCCAAAACTTCTTGGAAGCATGAAAATGAATTTTTAATACATCAATTATGATGTGGGTAGTCAAGGGTGGAAAGTATTAAGGAGAAAGCAAGTAGAACCCATCCATAAGCCTAGAAGGGAGGAGGGATGTTCCTTGAGGGCTTTCAAATATAAATGAAGTTGTCGGAATAACATTAACGAAAAGAATATAATTAGAAATCAACAGGCACAGAGGAGAAGGGGAAACAACAAGCTGAACTCAGCCTTTTCATGAATCACATAGCACTGAAATGAAAAGCTCAGGAGTAGGAGATGAGATACAAGACTAAGGCCAAAATAATGGTGATGTCTAGGGGGGGAAGAAACACTACTCTTGTTTTTTTTTCAAATCCTACAAATACTTCAAGCTTTCCGGTTGCTTTTCAGTAGGGATGGGTGAATCTGTCAATTTCAGTTTCTCTATGTCTCTCATTTTCCCCATCTTATTTATTTATTTACGAACACAATTTCTATACCACTTAGTATATTTAAAAAATACATATCTAAGCAGTATATAGAAAACCAATGCAACAACCGACAATGTAAACAACTACCAATGTACACAGATATAAAACTGTTATATTCATACAAAGGTAGTAATAAATATAAGCCAATATCATTTACATTCATTTACATTCTGACGCATCCTCCCCTCTCAGCCTCCTGGCTCTCACTCAGGACTCCACCCACCCAACTTGGCTCTCACCCAAGTAGTAATCAAACTCTTAGCTCACTCACAAAAGTCTTGCAAAGAGGAAGGATCCTGGATACTGCTGGTGTCACCCTTGTCTCCCAGTCTAGGTTTGCTAGAGTGGGTGGTGGTTTCTCAGTCTGCCCACAACTGTGTCCCATTCAGCAGTCAACTGCACTCTCTAAATTCCCCTACATGCGAAGACAGCCTCCAGCAGCAATCAAACGGTCAAGAAGGCAGTTAATGCACATGCTGCAGAGGGAAATGAGGGGCAGATGGGGCTCATCAACCTGGGAACATCTAGAAGGAGGAAATCTCTGATCCTAAACTTCCACTGCCTTGCAGGACAACTTTGGGAGAAGGAAAGGCTAAGGAGTAAAGCCTCCACAAATCTGGAGTGCAGTCCCTAAGATGGTTGGATGGCTCCTTGTGCGCCTCCTTCCGGCAACATTTGCAGCTAAGCTGGTGCCAAATGCATTGCTCAGCTTTCCTTTGGGGGGTCCCTCTCAGCAAGGCCCAGGACCTCCATACACATTGCCCTGGCTTGTGCCCTGAGAGGTCACCTTGGTGCTGCTAAATGCAGCAAAAAACAACACAGAAGGCAGCAGTTATGAGTTATGAGTCTCTGCAGCCACAGCAGGCACTGTAATTCTCCAACAGTTTGACTCACCCCCAGAGGCACGCTCCATTGTCTCTTGAGACAGATGGATGACAACAAGGATGATGCAAATGAACGTGAACTTTTTCCCCATCATTAATTTTCAAGTTATGTTCTTGGAAACTGAAGCTGATCTATTTTTCTGCTAGGGCTTGTTAGCATAACAATGCTAATGAACGATGAAATTATACTCGATTTATTATCGTCTCCTCTCTACATCCATGCATTGTGATATCCATGGGAAGGTTACTTACAATGTGTCATTAAAAGTGATGGGAGCGATGCAAGCTTTCAGCATGCATAATAATATCAAGGGGGATTTCAGATATAAATGCAGACTAATTAAAGGCAGGAAAGGTCTTTGACTGTGAATCACAGGCCAGCAATTCTAGGCTCAGGGATGGGTAACCTCATACCTGGGGGCTAAAGGTGGCCATCCAGACTTTTCTTTGTGGCTCTCAGGACTCTCCCCAGACCTTACTATCCCTGCGTAAGGGCTTTTACCTGGCCAGAATGTGTCCTTGAGCTGTGATAATGCTTCTTGACTGCCTGGATAGATAAATGTGTGTGTTTGACCATTGACTTGTACATGGCTGGAAGGTAGCCTACCATACAAAGGTAAGAGTCACACCCATTGCTCCGAATAGTTTTTGCTTCTGGCCCCACCTGCCACTGACCTTTGGTCCCTGCAAGGTTACCTACAGAAGGAGAAGTTCATCATCCCTGCTGTGGCCCCTGGCAAAGAGAGATTCCTGGTCTTAGAAAGGGAGATGTGATGACAGCATCTCCTTCTCTGTTGCTGCCACAGTCTCTGTTCTCCTGGCCCTACCAGTGTCAGGGCTCTGATGTCCAAAATGGCAGCATACAGGGGCAGATTATGGAAAATAGAAGATTAAGGGATCACTGAAAGTCTGCCACACAGAATATGGAGCAAGCTTGTTCTCTCTTGCTCCGGAGAGGAGGAGTGGAACTAATAAGACTGGAAATGATAGGGATCCTGATTTCAGTAAACCATTGGGGAACTTTCCAACAGCCAGAGCTGTTTACCAGTGGAACAGGCTGCCTCTGGAAGGCTGTTCTGTCATTCACTAGAAGCCATCTTTAAGGGGTGCTGTAGTTGCATCCTAGATGGGGGAAATTGCAGCCATTGGGGGAAATGGCATGAGATGCAAAGCCTAAACATATATAGCTGGGATAGGGGGCCTGTGGCCCTTCAGATTCTTATTTTTTTAAACAACTCACATCATTCCTGACCATTCGCCATGCCATCTGGGGCTGATGGGACTTGGAGCCTCCCATCCCTGGTATGAGCGCAGTGATGAGCACAATGACCATTTGCTACATTGGCAATGAGGGATAACAAAATCTTCCTGGCTTTGCTCTGATAATTTAACACGGTAGGAGGACATGATAAAACCCTGGTCCCAATTATTCCTAAATGAACAGGAGAAAGTTATCAATAAATTCTAGTGCTGCAATTTCATGCTGCAGTCCCCCTTTGATATTTCTTTCTTTTTTATTTTTAAACTGTTTAATAACATTGACTTTCATTCAACTGACAGTCATCATCTAGTCTTGGAGGTGTCACAACATCTTTTGTCAATCTTCTTGAAGCAGGTGAAATATATGGAGAAAGTGGATAGACAGAAGGTGTCCTGCCGCTCTCATAATATAGAATCCATGGGATAATCCAAAGCATCTGAAGAGATTCAGGACAGACTAAAGGAAGGACACCTCCACATGGCACATATTTAAACTATGGAATTCTCTTGCACAAGGCGTATTGATGGCCTCTAGCTTGGATGGCTTTAAAAGATGATTAGACAAATCAACACAGGATGAGGCTATCAGTGACTACTAGCCACAGTGACTAGGTTCTACCTCCACTGTCAGAGGCAATATGTTTCTGAATACTAGTTACTGGGAATCACAGGTGGAGAGAGGGCTATTGTGCTCCAACTTTAGGGCTTCCCATAGGCATCTGGTTGGCCACCATGGGTGGCATTCAACTACATTTTACTCAGAGTAGAGCTATTGAAACTAATGGGCCTAACTTAGTTGTGTTAATTAATTTAAGTGGGCCTACTTTGAGTAAAATCTAGTTAAATTTCACCCTGTGGAAACAGGAGGTTGGACTAGATGGGCCAAGGTTGTCTTATGTAACAGGAGGAATCAGCCTGCAAAGATAGGACTCACAATGCTAAACTTCCTCACAGGAGCCTGGTCTTTGACATATTTGTCAGCTTTGTGTAAATGAACGTCCCACTCTGGGGTTAAGAGATTTTATGGTGCTGATGGTGGTTTTGAAAATAGCAGCTGTTTTGAAAATTAGATTTCTGATAACAAAAAAGGTGCAAATGAGTGGATCCTACAGATTGCATCACACTTTTTGTTTTCTTTTTTAAACATAGGACCTTAGTTTTTTCTTGCTCTGAAACCTGCAGGGTAAAAAATAATGCAACTTTGGCTTCCTGAATGTGTCGAAGTAATTCTGAGGCCCGAACATGTTGTCCCCTTTCTCTCCCGACAGCAATTAGCTCTTGTAAAATCTCTCACATGTGCTCAGAATTTGTAAGGGGATTTAATTCTTGCGTTCCTGCTGTGAGACCTACTGCGAGTTCTTCCCTCAGCCACTCTGAAGACTCTCAAGGTCAGCCGAGCCTAGAATTGCTGTGCTGAGGCAAAATGTCCACTCTACTCTGTTGACAGAGGCTGCAAAAATTGGGGAGGTTTGGATTTCAGCAAAGATGGGGGAGGGAGCAAACAGGCATAAAACATGGAGACTGGATCATTAGGGCAAATGGGGCACTGCCCCTCCAACCTGAGTCTGCATTTTGCCAGCACTCATTTGCCTTGCCTTCTTGCTTACAGCCTGTCCAGAGGGTAGCCCTGCCTATCAGTTTTCACCTCCTCCTCCTCAGTCTCAGTCTTGCCCTTGTAGAGCTCAGCAAGGAGGACAGCAGAGGCAAAACTAGAATAGAGGCAGATTTAGGGGAGCGAGACCAGTTCGCCTGCACTGGGCGCTGAATGGAAAAGGCGCTGCAGGAGGCACCGCAACAATGACTTAGAACAGAAGACGAGAGGTGGGGGGGCAAATGTTGGCATCACACAGGGTGCCGCTGAAATTTGAAAGCCCAAATGCCACTGCCACTGTCACCTGTCTGTCCCCTCCCACCACCTGGCGGTCAGGTGGACCAGTGTTGGAAGTTTGAATGCAACTCTGCTTTTAGAAGAGGGGTTTGCATGGGTTAAAACAATAGGGTTTGGGACCTCCAGATTCCCAGTCCATCTCTTGCTCTTCCTTGCTTTAAACCCATGATTCCCAATGTGGGGCACATCCCCACAGGGGGGGAATTTGATTTTTAAGGTGGGCAATTCGAGAACGAGTTATTAACAATGAATGGCCTTTTAGGCTTCCTCCATGTGAGTAGGAGTTCACTTTTTGAATAATAAGAATTATATGTCATGCGGGGTGTTTTTAAGAGAAGCTTAGGTGAGGACGTGGGTGGCACTGTGGGTTAAACCACAGAGCCTAGGACTTGCCAATCAGAAGGTCGGCAATTCGAATCCCCGCAACGGGGTGAGTTCCTGTTGCTTGGTCCCTGCTCCTGCCAACCTAGCAGGGCCTAATTAATTTCAGTGGGCCTATTCTTGCATTGCAGGGGTTGGACTAGATGACTCTTGGTCCTCCCAACTCTACATTTCTCTATGATTCTATTCTGAGCAGCTTTGTGTTCATCTGACATTAGGAAAATGATCTCACCTTTACTGATCTCCGTATGGAGGTACTGATAAGTTTTTGAACCCCAGAATTTCAGAGTATTCTATGAACTATGAATTTGTTCAAGCATAAATCTCCATGGAATCATTACTGTTAAAGTCACAAAGCTTCAGTTTGGTCCAAAGGGGAAACTTAGAGACAGCTGAAAAAGTTTTGCTGTTATTTCCATTGGATATTCAGCCTTCAGGGAGATTTTCTAGGTGCCATCTGTGCCGTGCTATGCAAAGGATCAGGAGGCATTGATCAAATGCTATAGGAGCATCAGGCACAAAGCTCATTTGCTAGCATTCTGTTCAATGCGATAATTGCTTTTCAAACTTCATTAACAGGAAAGGGCAAATTACCAAAAAGTTCCTTACAAACTCAAGGAAAAGAATTTTCTGGGCTTGCGGTTTAGTCTTCAGTGGCAATCCAAAATTGCCAAAGACAGATTACTGCTAGGTAGTGTGTTGGGGTGGGTGTTGGAAAGAGTAAGGAGGAACTAATGGAGCTATCAATTGGTGATCCCTCAAAGCAGCCTTCCCTAACCTGGTGCCCTCGAGGCCATTGGTTCCCAAACCTTCCCCCCACCCCTCATCTCCCACTTGAACATTGCTGAGGGTCTTGGTGGAGCACTTAATGATTTTACCACCTGTTGCAGTAGTTCTAATTGCATAGTAGTAATGCAATAAAATGTAAAACAAGAAATAAAAGGAGCAAAATAAATACAATTAAAAATCAATATGAATTTTCAATGTGATGGATGTGCCATTGCTCATCTTCAACAACAAATCCACAGACACAGACCACAGATTGGAAACCTGACCACTGGTCTCCTGTTTCCCTGGATGGTGGATAGAGATTAGTGTGTGTTGAAACTAGGCTTCTGTACAAAAATAAAATTTGCATTCATTGCTTCACCACTTTTGCTTCTGGCCCCAGGGAGCTTACATTCTCTGATCTAATATTTTTCCTCTAAATTATCATAATAATTATTAGCATTTGTATGGCTATTTCTAGTATACAAAGCACTTCCTCTGCATTATCTGGTTGCAATCCTTACAATTTTATAAGTGTGCTATTACTCCCATATTTCAGATGGGAGGTGGACACAACTGAGGCTGAGATCAAGGGGCTTGTGGAAGGGAATGCATGGCAGAGATGAAATTTGAGCAGTCTCTGGTTCTTCGTGATTCATAACTCAGCCAATATGCTGCCCCATATCCTGCTGTTGTTTTGAGTAACAATAATGTGGCAGAAATGTACCTTGGTCCCCCATTTCCCAGCTAGGAAATCTAAGAAAGGGGGCAGGGAGAGAGGAAAGAGTTTGCTACAATACCATACAAATAAGTCACTACATAAATCTGTTATATGATACAGACCAGTGTGATAGCAGGGCATAACTTTTTAAAGCTGAGAGCCTTTCCTGATTAATTATTTCCTTTCCAGAGGGCATCTCATTGAAGTTGCAAGAAAGTCACAATTTGGCAGGTTTAATTAAAAGCTTCTGCTCTCCCTCTCCCCCCTCCCCTCTCTTTCCCTCTCTCCACCTCCCCAACTAGAGTAATGAGTGGAAATTTTATCCTGCAAGCTTAAAGCAGACAATGATCAGGATTCCTGGGCAATGTGTAAGCCTAGAATTCTGAATCTGAATCATCCACAGTTCAAGATCACAAGGCTGTTGGGTGGATATCTGGGGTGTGTGTGTTGCAAGTGAAAAGACAGGACTACATTGGGTGAATACATGGAGGGCAGGTGAAAGAAGCTCCTACTATGGTTTTGCTTTATATTTTAGGTAAGCAATGGGGAATCTTCGTCTCTCCAGATGTCATCAAACTCCAGCTCCTATCAGCCCCAGCCAATGATCAGGGCTGATGGTATTTGTAGTCCAACAATGGGCTCATCCACATTTCCACTTGTCCCAGGCCTAGAATGCATGGGTCTGAACAGTTTTGCACTTATCCTGTGCTTTCTTGGCACAGGTCCACGTGGTTTTCTGTTTGCCCCACCGCTTTCCCCAGGAAAGTGCTGAATTGGCTCAAACATCCATCTGTGGAAAAGCCAATTGACATTTGCTCCAATTCAGCTGTAAATATTGGGTTTTCCTGGTGGAAAGTGGCAGGACAAGTGGCAGTCTGGATGAGCCCAATGTCTAGAGGGCACTTCATTGGCTACCTCTATGTCAGGAAATGGATTGTAGGAAACAATGGCACAAAGCAGCCTTCTCCAAACAGATGCCTTCCAGGTGTTACTAAACTTATCAGCTCCAGCCAGCACAGACAATGATTGGAGATGATGGGTTGTAGTTCTGTGACATCTGGAGGGCCACAGTTTCCCCATCCCTGTTTCAGATGAACACATATATTCTTTCTAAGGTGCAATGAAGTCTTTTAAAATTGGCACTAACCTTCCCAGCAATGTTTGTGGGAAGTATATACTATATACTATTGAAACTTGCAGTTCTGTGTTAATTAGATGATTAAACAGATGATAAGCTGTGGTGATCGATGAGTATGTGGACTAATCACCCCCGCTCTCCCTCTCTCCCCCTCTTTTTTTGCAGTCCTTGCATTTGGGGTTAATAAGTCACACCAGGAGAAAAGACCCATACCCCACAATGTGGAGGGTACAATGATGTTATTAAGCCCTGACTGATAAAGCTAAGAAGATTCAACCTTATCTCATTAATTAGTTGAGTGCCCTTAGCCTCAACATTTGGCACATGTAAGGGCCTCAATCCTGAGAGATGCTGAATGCCCTTGATTTCCATGTTGCTTCAGATTTCCAAGAACTGACATTGCTCATGTTTTCCTGGAATTGTTCAGGAGTAGACCCACACCTGCATTTAAACATTATTGAAATGAAGATATGAGTAAGAATATATAGCTCTGTATAACATAATCTTGTTCTCCTTTGCGGATTTTTTCTTTCTGTTGCTGGGAGTTGTGAGTTCCATACTCTGCTGCATATTAATTAAGCACCCAAGTTGCAATTCTAAATGCTGTTCCGTAGTGACCAAAACAACTCCAGGAGGTTCTGGGGACAAAGTGAGAAAATAATATGTCAAAGTAAGAAGAATTACAAGGTGAAGGACATCACTTTAAAGGTAGTCTGTAGTAAACTAGCTCTTTCTTTAGAATCTCAGTCATTTCAATCATTCTGTTTCTATGGATCTTTCTAACATTATTTTGATCATCAATGAAAGGCAAAAATGAAATTGCCAAACTCGTACTAACACTGATCTGAGTGATAGTCTAGTGTAGGCCATTTCCTGAAGGTGTTTTTATGGCAGACACGGATCTTTACTACAAAAATATTCTTATACATCACCCACAACCCTTACCAGTAGAAATAAATTATTGCACCAAGTTATGATGCAATTACCCGTCTTCCTATCCTTACATAAACTCTTAATCTTTTTATTTAAAAAAATGCTATTCTCGTACAGTCCTTGAGAATACAGAATGTCACGGTCATTTTGCTTGAAATAATCCTGCTTTTCAATAACAGAAAAAGTCCTAAACTTTTCTTGCTCATTTGCTAATTGCAGGTGCCCACTGTAAGAATCTGGGGTGAGTATTTCATCTGATATGAGTGATAAAAATAGAATACATGAATCATTCCAGTACTTTAAATTCACAGGAGCTGCGGGTTTTTTCCCCTTCCTTGAAGAGCTCTGAAAGGATTCGTTGGCATTTCCGTTGCTCCTGACAGACAAAGCTGAATGCATTTAATTATAAGAAATAATTTGTCTTTGTGTGTGGAGGCGAATAGCTAATTCTGCCCCTCCCCCTTGCTACTGTTGTCAGTGTGGGCCCTCTTCAATAATGTTTCCTTGAAAGAAATTGCAAATAAAAAGGTATTTATTTGTGGCATTCAAAATATGTATTTGTTGTATTTAAAAATAATAAAAGCCAAATGGTAAAGCTGTGCTGCAACAAACAAATAAACAAACAAACCATAACCAGCTTAGATTCAGAAAATAGTGGCCAAAATTATCAAGGGGGTGGAGCAACTCCCCTATGAGAAAAGATTACAGTATTTGGGATATTTAGTTTAGAGAAAAGGTGAATTTGTGCATTTCTCTTAATATGTGCATTTTTGCAAGCGTTTCCCCCCTCCCCCATAATTCATCTTTGCTATATTAGTTTCACTTATATGTGTGTTTTTGTTCCTAGTCTCCCCTAATAAAGTCGTCTTCTTCTCCTCCTTCTCCTTCTCCTTCTCCTTCTTCATTTTTTGGTTGGAGAACTGCATTGCTAAGTTTGGAGAAGTGAGAAATTTCCAAGGATAGCCGTGCTTCCTTTTGTGTATTGGTTCAGGAACCGTAATTTAGATTAATGTTAAAATGTAAATTGAACCCCATCCCTGACAGGCAAGTTGTCCAAAACCCACAAAGGCAAGGAGGCGGCTGCACAGGAAGAGGGAGGGCAAAGACATTGGGAAGACCCTGCCCTGCTCTACAGAAGTGCAACTACCCCTACTGTAGGGGTTCTGACATTGCAGGAACAATTTACGGAGGGAAGATCAAGATTGTGTGCAAGTCAAAAATTAACTCACAAACCTATCCTCCCTGGGGAATTGCATCCCCACTCAACATCACTGTGAAGGCCTTTTGGTCTCAGTGGGAAAGTATGGCGCTTCGGAACAACATATCGTACAGATGTTGAGTATAGGTGGTAGCTGAATGTGCCTACAGAAGGAAGTGAGGATGCTATGCCATGTAGCTTAAACTGCTGGGATGGCCCATATCCTGAACATTTTGAGCCCAAAAACATCATCAACTGGGGGGGGGGGGGGAGAGAATCTTTGCTGGCCTTACCCTCATTTATTTAACTGCATTTATACCCCACCTTTCCTCCAATGAGCTCAAGGCAGCGTACATAGTTTACCTCCTCCCCTATTTGTCCTCCCAACAAACCTGTGGGTAGGTTAGGCTGAGAGGCAGTGACTGGCCTAAGGCCACCCAGTGAGTTCCATGGCTGAGTGTGGATCCTGGTCTCCCAGGTCCGAGTCCCACATTCTATAACCACTACACGAAACTGGCTCTGCCCAATCTTCCTAGTCTGCATTTACAAGGGCACTGCTTTTGTCCTGTCGCTCACATACAATGTCTGATTTAGATGCAGATGCTACTCCTGAGCTAGGGTTGCCTGCAAGGCCCAGGCCCAAAGCAACCATATCCATTAAGAGCCTTACTGAAGAGTCATGATTGTTGGCTCACATTGCCAGTTGGAGGCAAACTATTGTTCCTTGGAAGAACAACAAAAGTAGTTTGCATTTCCACCTTCCTCCATAAAAAAAAAATCACTATTTACAATCACCAGGGGTGTTGTTACATGGATAACTACCAGTGAAGAATGCTAGTAAATGTTAGATTAACAGCTGCAGGAAGCAGCTGGAATGCATGCCGTATACCAAGCGGTCTTAGAGTATTAAATCTCCCACCTATGTTCTGAAAAATCAAGACTGAAAAAACTTCTCAGAAATGTACAGAGTATCTCATTTTATCTAGCAAAACAAATTAGTTCCTACTTCTCCATTTGGGATTTACCCATGGGCCCAGCTTGTATTTGGATAAAACTACCTAAACTCTGCCAGGATTTCATAAACCCAGTAATGGAAAACCTTGAAAAATCTAAATTTGTCATTGTGGCATAAGAATAGTAGCTATCTTGTGGTTAGGTGAATGGGGGCCCTTGCAATGGTACAGCCACAATATAGAAATGTACATCAAAAAGTTGACTGCACACCAATAGATTGGAGAAGAGAACAGCAGCAAGAATTTAATATTGGCTTTAAACCCTTGCTATACAACCTGGAAAATGTTTTTTGTTTATTTGTTTTGTTCCTGGCTGAATGACTATGCTTTCCATAGAGATTAGCTTATGTGCTGTTATTAGGAATGCACTGATTCAGTTTTTCAGATGATTGGAAGATTAAAATCAGCATAATCTGCACAAAAAAGTAGGACACTGTTCTTTGCTTCTCATTAAGAGAGAAATAGTAAAAGGAAAAAAATCAGTAAAGTCTTGGTTTTGCAATCTAGCTAAATGGGAAAGATCCTCAATTTCACTGTCCTGCTCAGGTGCCCCCCACTAAGTAAATATCATTTTCATATTGCAGATGTACCATTGGAAGGGCAGATTTCATCCATGTTTTTATAGATGTTGAATGGGCAGGGTAGGCAATAGGGTAAGATATATTCAGAAGGCAAGTCAGTTTTCAACAGTGCAGCCAGTGTCAAGCTCCTTGGTTGGGGGGTGGGGGGAGGTCACTCTGGATTATTCCCTGAGTCCCTTCCAATTCTTGAGATCCTATACCCAATAGGGATTGAAAGCTGATGGAGAATTCTTAAGTGCCTTCATCAGTATCCTAAAAGAACGGGCCAGGCTGCAAGAGCCTACAACTAACTGATGTTGCCCTCCGGACAAATGGATGGGCCTTCCTCCCTCACCTAACAGCCACGTGGTGAGAACAATAGGAATTTAGTTGTTGTGAGCTGAGTAGAAAACAAGCTGAGAACTCGTGGACATCCAATGTTGGAAGATTCAGGACAGATACTTCTTCATGCAGTGCATAGTTAAAACTATGGAACTCTCTCCCACAGGAGGCAATGATGGCCACCAACTGGGTTGGCTTTAAGAGAGAATTAGACAACTTCATGGAGGAGAGGACTATCAGTGGCTACCAGCAATGACTGACATGCTCTGCCTCCACAGTTGTCTGAAACCACAAGAGGGGAGAGGGCTCTTGTGCTCAGGTCCTGCTTATGAGGTTCCCACATGCATCTCCTTGGCTACTTCAAGAACAGAATGCTGGAGTCGATGGGCCATTGGCCTTATCCAGTAGGCTCCTATTATGTTCTTATGTGGAGCAGGACACAGAGACATGCATTGCTCTGTGCTGGGTCCAAGGTTGTGACTCACGGAGAAGCATGATCTTTCAGCGTGTTAATGCTGTGAGCCCCTCCATTCTGTGTTCAGATTATATATCGGTATAAATAAAAACCACATATCCTAAAGAGAGCACAGTCTCTGCTGACCTCCATTCCAAGAAAATCAAACTCTGAGCAAGCACGTGGAACCTCTGGAGTCCCTCGCTGCTCAGAGTTTGGGGCAGCATGTAGCAATATTTTCATGGTATTAATTCAAAGCATTCTTGTGTGTACACAGCACTTTTGTGGCAGTAAGATATTACACCTATCCTTTAAGGCAGGGGGGATTTTCTTTTGAGATTTGTATATGGAGGGCGCCAGGTTGGGGAAAGCTGGATCAGGCCATGGGAATTCCTACACAATAATTTCATCCCAGTCAGGTTCTGCCAGGCTGCACTAACTGAACTTTTGAGTCAGAACAAAAGCAAACAGTTTACCATCAGGGAAATATAAAATACCGAGATAAAAATCAAAAGCTCAATTGATTTCATTATCTAGGATTTCAGGCTACTTTAAAACTCAGGAATTTGGGGGATTAAATTCTGACCTTCCCCTTTCCTTCTCCTGAGGCTTAGATTGGCAGCAGCGTGCATGAATTTCCTCCTGACCCACTTCTCTAGGAGTTTTGCAGGATATGGTTTTGTTTAATTTTCCTACTTTCAAAGAGATATTTCCCCCTACTGAAAAAAACACAGTATCTCATCTATTGTACAGGACATAGTTGTGTATTTTGTATTCCCATTTTGTATTTTTATGTTGCAAACTGCTCTGTGATCTTCAGATGAAGGGTGATATGCAAATTCAATATGAATAAAAATAAATAAATAAATTTAATACTGCATTTATGAACATAAGGAGCTGCCCTATTCTGAGTCAGATTGCTGATCCATCTAGCTCAGTATTGCCTACACTGACTGGCAGCTATTCTCCATGGTTTCAGACAGGGAGTCTTTCCTAGCCCTACCTGGAGATGCTGGAGATTAAACCTGGGACCTTCTGCATGCAAAGCAGATGCTCTGCCACCAAGCCACAGGCTTCCCCCACATTCTGCTAAGCAACCTATCTTGGCAGGTCTAGTAAACTATCATAAAGGTAAAGGTACCCCTGCCCGTACGGGCCAGTCTTGCCAGACTCTAGGGTTGTGCGCTCATCTCACTCTATAGGCCGGGAGCCAGCGCTGTCCGCAGACACGTCCGGGTCACGTGGCCAGCGTGACAAGCTGCATCTGGCGAGCCAGCGCAGCACACGGAACGCCGTTTACCTTCCCGCTATAAAGCGGTACCTATTTATCTACTTGCACCCGGGGGTGCTTTCGAACTGCTAGGTTGGCAGGCGCTGGGACCAAACGACAGGAGCGCACCCCGCCGCGGGGATTCGAACCGCCGACCATGTGATCGGCAAGTCCTAGGCGCTGAGGTTTTACCCACAGCGCCACTTTGCATTTTGAGGCTTATGTAGGAACAAAGGACCTGAGTGTAAGTTGCTTGTTTTTCCCAGCAGCTGGCTTTCTGCCTCCAACAGAGGAGGTAAAACATAGTCATTGTGGCTAGTAATTTCTCATTGACTGTGGCTTGTTAGGGAGGAACAAGCTACAATTCGTGATCTAGATATTGGTTCCTCTATGCTGTTTGCACTAGGGAAGAGCAAAATATAATGAGGAGAGGCAGGTTGGGGAGAATGCAACAAATTATATGCAAATACAGCCACAGGGCTCTAGATTTTTTTTGGGGGGGGGGATACAGAATAAAATAGATACCATAGGGTATACAGCACTAGTAGCACATTACCAGCCTGATAGCTGCTACTGTAAAAATGCCATTGCTCTGAAACCTCCATGATTCAAGGCAGGTATGCTTAATAGCAAGCCCAAGTAATGCTCTGGTTCCTTTGGGAGACAATTTAAAGCTGATTTGCCTTTCGTTCTTTCTTCCCCAACTTTAAATGAGGTAGCTCAATCCAGCACTATATATTGGCCAGTTTTACAACTTGGCAATGCTTCACTGCGCCTTTCAAGAGGCTGGATTTTGCTACATTAGTCACGGGATAACAATCCTGTTCAGAAATGCAGTCAAAAGTTTTTTACTCTGTCATCAAGGACGTTTCATTCAGTCTCGCACCTCCTCCTCTTCACTCAATCTCCTCTAGTCTGCAGTAATGTCCTATCAACTGCACCTTATCTAGCTCTGAAATTAGCTGTCATCCTTTTAATTTCAATACTTATACTTGTGAAGTAGGTATCATAATTTATCCATACTAGAGTCTCTGCATCGATTGTATTCAGTTGGCCATAGATTTGCCTACTATTAAAGAATCTTTGTAGAGAGTTGGGTCAAATAATTAGTTCCAAGGTCTGAGCAGATGTTATAAAATAATCAATGAGAGCTCTTCAGTGTCCTCAATGTTCAAGCACGAAAGATGTCTACACTGCTCCTAACATGTGTAGGTAGAAATTGTAAGATTTGTGCACCGCAAGATCTGTGGTAAATAGATTCTGCAATTCCACTCTTCATTTATTGGAACGGACACCCATAGGTTTCACTCCTATATTGATATTATAATCAATTTGCATTCAGGTAGGTAGCGGTGTTGGTCTGACGCAGTCGAAATAAATGAAAAAATTGTCCAGTAGTACCTTAGAGACCAACTAAGTTTGTTCTGGGTGTATCTGAAGAAATGTGCATGCACACAAAAGCTTATACCCAGAACAAACTTAGTTGGTCTCTAAGGTGCTAAGGGACGTGGGTTAAACCACAGAGCCTAGGGCTTGCCAATCAGAAGGTTGGTGGTTCGAATCCCCACGACAGGGTGAGCTCCCGTTGCTCAGTCCCTGCTCCTGCCAACCTAGCAGTTTGAAAGCACGTCAAAGTGCAAGTAGATAAATAGGTACCGCTCCAGCGGGAAGATAAACGGCATTTCTGTGTGCTGCTCTGGTTCACCAGAAGCGGCTTAGTCATGCTGGCCACATGACCTGGAAGCTGTACGCTGGCTCCCTCGGCCAATAAAGCGAGATGAGCGCCGCAACCCCAGAGTCGTCTGCGACTGGACCTAATGGTCAGGGGTCCATTTACCTTTAAGGTGCTACTGGACAACCAATTTGCAGATACTGGACTTTACAAAGGGGTGGGGAGCACAGTCAGATGATGACCCCCCCCACCACCACCACACACATTGATTATAGCAACTGCACAGGGCTAAAGCAAAGCTTTATTGAATTGAGTATCATGTTGTGCTGGGACTTTGCTGGGGAAGTGGTAGCAGTTACAAGAGTCTCTTAAGGCAAGAATAGGCAAATCAAAACCATGGTCAGCTCCCAGTGGTTCCTGCTGCCTCAGATATTGACCATACCTATTGGCTGTACACCCTGGAACTGCTGCCTTTAAAGAGCCTGTAGCCAATTCTGCATATGTGTGTTCCTCTGTGGTTGTAGAGCAGGAGAAGCCACAGGGGACTCATCCACAGAGACTGAGGATGATCTAAGAGCCACTCCCTCAGACTGAGATGGTGCAGGAGTGGCAGGCAAAGGCTAAGGAATGTGCAGGTGCAATCAGCAAACGATGGCTCCCTTCCAAAAGCAGGGTTTGCAAGTGTCACTGAACAGCTGATCAGCCCTGCTACCGATCAGCCCTGCCACCACCAATCAGTCCTGCTACCATTACCCATACAGTTAAAATCAAACTGCACAGGCAAAAACCAGACACTGCCAATCAACTGATCAACAGCCCCTGAAAACCCTACTTTTCGACAGGGAGTTGCGTCTTTACCTGCATTGCACTTGGCATCATATATTACATCAAATGCGCAGCAGGTGGGTGTGATTTGGAGGAAATGACATTATGGGCCAGATTAGGTCTATTTACATCCTCAGGCCAGAGGTTTCCAACCGCTACATTGCATTGGCATTTTGTCAGTGCTTTCAGGCCAAACCCAGGAGATAAGGTAGACTTTGAGGCATGCAGGAGCAAAGTTATTTAAGTCAACTCTGTTCCCACTCTCCAATTTAAGATGTTGTAGAGACTTTTGGGAGAACTTCATTGGCTTAAAAAATATGGGGAAAGCATCCCTGAAGTTGATGCAACAAAAAGTGCCTTTAAGCTAAGTGAGGCTGCTTGCCAGGCACCTAAACTGCTCTTTTAATTAAATATGGTCATGAAATTATGTGAGCAGTGGTACTTGGCCGATCCAATATCTGCCAACGATAACTGCCTGTACCAGGCAGAATTAAATTACACAAGAAGAACTAAATGTTCCTTTCAACATATTGCTTCTTTCTGGAAGAAGAAAGGGGAAACAGCATGAAAGAGGGAATCTAAGAAAAGAAGCACCAGAGCACAGTCTGAACTCACCAAATGGAGGCTGATGGAATCAACATATTGAAAAGAAGCCAGAAACTCTAGTACAATGCTTTAGCCCCATTGAGATATTTTCCTTCTGACACCATTCATGCTTATTTCTTGTTGGTCATGATAAATAGGGGCAAACGACATGCCATATTGATTGGATGTGTGCAATTAACTTGCACATTTTCTTTAATTTACGTAACTGCTGCACATTTTCAGTAAGTGATAAGAACCTAAGAAGAGCCCAGCTGGATCAGGGCAGTGTCCCATCTCCTCCAGCATCCTGTTCTTAAAGTGGCCAACAGGATGCCTGTGGGAAACTCACAAGCAGGACTTGAGCACAAGAGCACTCTCCCCTCCTGTGATTTCCAGCAAGTAGTATTCAGAAGCATTACTGCCTCCAACTGTGAAAGGCAGAGCATAGTCATTATGGCTAGTAGCCATTGATAGCCTTCTTCTCCATTAATTCATCTAATCCTTTTTCAAAGCTATCCAAGTTGGTGGCCTTCACAGCCTCCTACGGATCCACTCACCATTATTTCCCCCAGTGCTTCTCAGCTGACAGAAGAAGAAGGCTGGATTGCAGGGGGGAAAGCATTTGGAGAGTGAGTATCTTCTTCATCATGAGATGGGACTGCATTACTATGAGCGAGTCAACAGACTCCAACACATCACAGATGAAAATAGAGACCCACTTGTGTAACACTCCTGTTTCCATGCCAAGGAGACTGGCTGAAACCCCCACACCCTTACTCATTGCTGAAGTCGCTGTGTTCATTTCCTCTGCAGTAGCCTGCTCTCTTTGCTAGCTTAAAAGCCAAGAGGCTGTTTGTTCTTTTGATTAAAGATATGCCAGAAAAACAAAATGGCTCAACAATCTGTTATCAAAAAAGAAAAGAAAGAAGAGATTCAAACAACATGTGAAATGGCAGGCTGTGTGCTGCCTACCACCTTGATGTTCACGCACTGTACATGAGTGTGCTTTGGAGACAAGATGCATCATTTCCCAGGGAAGAGGTCTTAGATAAGTCACTCTCTGCCTTATTCCCCCCGTCTGCAGTATGGCGACACTTACTTTTACAGCAGAGCTGGGAAACCTGTGCCTCTCCAGAAATCGTTGTACTAGAACTCCCATCATCTCTGGCCATTAGCCATACTGGCAGAGGCTGATGGGAGTTGGAGTCCAGTAACATCTGGAGGGCATCAGTTTCCCCAAACCTCTGTTATGGAGTTGCTGCAAAGATTCTAAGAAGAAAATGCAGGTGGAACACTTCAAACAATTGAAAGCATGGTACGAAATGTTAATATTATTGAAAAGCCTTCATCTGGGACATTTATTTCCTTTACAAAATACTTCCTTTACAATGCAAGATGTTATCACAGTTCAGATAAACAAGACATTTCTTTTTAAAATTCTTTCTTCATTATCTCAACAAATTATATGTAAGAAAAATTGTTTGCTAGTGTGAAAAGTTTACGGAGGGCAGGCTGCATGTCAAAGCGCTCTCTATTATTTTCTTCCTTAAACCCGAGTGCTAAGCAAGTCATTTGTGGTGCAGTCCTTGTACAGATACAGATCAGTTGACTGCAGGAGGTTTAAAAGCTTCCGCATATGGGTGTTTTGTGCCTTTGGCTTCAAGGATGCAGAAATGCATCATCGAGAGCTCTTTGATATGTTCAGTGCTCAGCATTTTATAAATGGCCAAGATATATAAGTTCTATGTGAACCTGTTCCAGTGCTTTGATGTCACGGATGGCTGTAAAGGGCATTGGAAAGTCAGAGGCAACTACAAAGAGCCTGTACAGCTGAAATAAGCAAAAGTGTCTCACGGCTGCCCCTTTTTGTCTCTCCCAAAATGGGGGCCTTGTTGTAGTTTGTCACTCATTTAATCAACATGATGTGAAAGTTGGCGGAGGGCTTAGGGTGCCATCCGCCAAATGCTCCTGCTGCACGCATGCCCTTCATTGGGCTTGGGCAGGACTCTTGCGCCATCAACAATGGAACTGGAATCAACTGAGATGTCAACTGCCAACTATCAGAGTCAAGAGCTGAGGAACTGTAAAGCCAGGAAGGGGAGCCTGTGGTCCTCCAGGGGCTGTTGGGCAACAACATGCATGCCCATTGGCCATGCTGGCTGGGGTGAGTGAGAGTTGGTGTTCAACAATATCTGCCTACAAAGATATACCTAGGAAGTTGCCATATCCCAAGTCAGTCCAATGGCCCATCTTAGCTCAGTTTTGTCTACACTGAGTGGCAGAGGATTTCAGGCTTAGAGGTCTCCCCTAGCCCTACTTGAAGATGCCAGGGACTAAACCTGGGACCTTCTGTATATAAGTCAAGATATTTGCCCTTGAACTGTGACCACTTTCCCAGGGCCACGGGTATCCCTATACCTGCTGTAAAGATTTCCTGCCTTCTCCTCCTGGGCTTTCTGGGGCTTTGTAGATGACACAAGAGTTGTAGAACACAAGCGTTGCATTCAGCTTCAGTCTCTAGTATCATTAGTTAAAGCAGGGGTTGTCAACCTGGTCCCTACTACCCACTAGTGGGTGTTTCAGGATTCTAGGTGGGGTTCTACGGCACAAGCTGGGGGTTCTATGGCACAAGCTGAATCCTCCTTCCATCGAGCACTAGTGGGTGGTAAAGAAATTTTACCATCAAGAAAGACGCATTAGTGGGCGGTTGGTATAAAAAGGTTGACTACCGCTTAGTTAAAGGATTGTAGGAAGCTGGGCTGACCTTGGAAATCCTCTGCCAGTCAGAGCCAGGGCTGACCCAATACATTTTGCCATCTGAGATGAATGGCAAGAAAGCAGTCCTCCAAGGCTCAAGTCCATGTTACAAAGCCAACTAGACTGGTAGCTGAATCCTATTTCAGCACTGATGACTGGACAGCACCCACCACAGCAGTAGGCTTGCTGTGAACTGCAGTGCAAGACATGTAGCACACAACTCTATCCTTCAACATTTATGCCACCTGAGCAGCTACCTCCTTCAGCCTAATGGTAGGGATGCCTCTATCAATGAAGACATGACTGGACTAGATGGAACAATGATTTGACTTGCAATAAGGCAGGCATCATCGTATGATTGGTGCCTGATCTAGCTCTTGGATATAAGTTCTCTGTAAAGCCCTCTTAACCAGAGTGACTGCTGGTAAAATTAACAAATTGGTGCCTGGTGCAGTGTAAATTTTTCTCCCTCTCCCCAGGACTGGATCAAGACATTAAGTCAAGGCGCATAGTACCCAAGGCTAGCCAAGTTATTTTGGCATTTGAGGCAGGAAATCCTACAAGCTCCTCTCCCTTTCCTGGCACTAATAAAACAAATGAAACAACTAATCATTTGCTGCCCTTCCCTGACAGCCAAAATCAGCTGCTTCAGGTGGCCGCCTCATTCTGCCTAATGGAAGGACTGGCCTTTCATAAAAAATGGAATTTGGTTCAGCCAATGATGTTGATTGGCAGCAGGTTCAGGACAGGATCAAGAAAGGACTTCTTCACATGGTATGCCATTAATTTATGGGCAATTGGACAAATTATTAGAGACTAAGCTATCAATCAGAGGGTGTTAGCCGCGATAGACTCTCCAGTTAGCATGCCACCAAAGAACAATTGGGGTGTGAGAGCAGGAAAAGGAGATGGCTTCTGGGCTTCTCTGGTGGTCCACACTGAGTAACAGAATGCAAGACTGGATAGGCCTTTGGTATGATCCAACAGGATCTGTCTTGCATTCTTATGTAACCTCTCTCGGACTCATGGATGGGAAATCTCAGGCCTGGGAGTCAATTGCACCACCCCACTCTGTCTAGCCCTTGGTATTCTTCCCAGGTCAAACACCCCTCCCTAACAACAACTCCCTACAGCCCCTGTTTTGCACTCTCCTTGAGTGTGTTTGCCTAGCCAGAATGTATCCTTGAATTCTGAACATGCTTCCCAATTGCCTGGATGGAGGGGTGCACATGTGTGTGTAAAAACTAGCCTGCTATACCAAGTCAAAATTTCCATTTATGCTTATGCTTTCTTTTGCACCTGGCCCCACCTATGGCATGTGGCCCCCAGATGGCTGCCCACCAGAGAATGTGGCTTCTGGGCTATGTTCACCACTCCAGTTCTAACTGCATGTGTTCAGTCTCTTTACAGTGCTATCCTGCATGTGTCCACTCAGGAGTAAGTCCCATTCCGTTAAATGGGGCTTACTCCCAGCAAAGTGGGTCAGGATAGCTTACTTTTATTGCTCTGTGGGCTGCCTATCCTGCGATACAAAGGGTACCTCGTGTGCTAACCTAGCAATGGAGTGTCTTTTCCTCCATGTCTATTTGGTTGGCATGATGTTTCCACTTGCCTTGATTACTGGACTTTGCAACTCTTGAGACTGGAAACTCTGATAATGTGCAAACTTATTTTTGGGAAGGTGAGATCTGTGTGATGCTGTGCACTCATTTTAAACATGAAACACAATCTCTGGTTTGCAGGGAAAGGTCAAAAGTCAATATCCAAAAAGTCTTTCAAGGCATTCCAGGGTCTTGTTCATTTGGTTTGCTCATTATCGTTCTCCCTTAATGTAAGGAAGCCTTTCATGAAGAGTGCCGTCTTGCTCAGCTAGCCTTCATGATGGGTTAGTTGTCTCATGCTTATACCTGGTAAAAAGATGCATCACCACCTATCCTAGGGGATAACTCTCTATCTGGCTCTCAAAATGCTCCCCTCTCTGTCCCTCACACACTCCACACCAACCCTGCTCCACACACCCCTGAAGTGCTTTTACCTGGCCAAATTATGCCGTTTAACTTTGATAAAGCCTCTAGTTTCTCCTGGTATAGATGTGCACATGTAGAAACCTTTGGCTTTTGCATGATTGGATCACAGCCTATTGTACAGAGGCAAAAAGTCACACAACTGTTGTTCTGTCCACTATTGCACCTGGCCCTGTTCACCTTTGTCTCTGTCTCCACCCACTTTTTGCCCTGGCCCCGCCCACCCCTGGCATGTGGCCTCCAGGAGGTCTCCTATGAAGCAACATGGCCCTTGGGCTGAAAAATGGTTTCCCACCTCTGATCTAGTCTAGGGCCACAGCTTGGTGTATGTCTCGCTCAGCCTGTAAGCCAGACTCCTACGTGGGGCTCCTAACATCATCAGCACTCTTTAGTACCCCAGGCCCTCCCTGCTATTGCTGGCACTGCCTGAGCATTGTTTGTTACTGTTCTCAGCAATGTGCTTTAAGCTTCACCCGGGCAGACTTTGCAGAAGCAATTGCATTTGAAAATGGCGAATTGCAAGCCTTGGGCTAACTGCTTTGCTTTGTGCATTACAGTACACAGATTATTATTATTATTTTGCAGCAGGATGTTCATTATCCTTTGTAGATGTACTTGATGGGTGAGCCAGTTGCATCCGTAGTGAAGCTTTCACTCTCGTTCAGTGTGTCACTCTCACCAGAAGTGTTGGCGTTCTTTAGCCTCATGATTCGGGACTGTAGCCGCTCATGCTCCCTCCTCAGCTCGGAGTAGGAGTGGGAGAATGTGTGGAATATGGAGGTGGCTGGGAAAGCCATAATGAGTATCCCACTCAGGATGCTGCTTAGGGCAACCATCTGGCCCGGGACGCTCCTGGGTACCATGTCCCCATAGCCCACTGTTGTCATGGAGATGATAGCCCACCAGTAAGAGGCAGGGATGCTGGTAAACTCCAGGATCTTCCCAGATTCGTTCTCTGCAAGGTAGACCAGGGGGGAAAAGAGGGTGACGGCTACACACAGGAAGAGCAAGAGCAGGCCAAACTCTCTTGCGCTCCTCCGGACGGTGAGGCCCAAAGTCTGCAATCCCAAAGAGTGCCTAGCAAGGCGCATGACATACAGTATCCTCAAGGCACGTAAGACCCGTAGCACCAAGCCCACCTTCTCGAGGTACGAGCTCCCGCTCGGCCTGCTGTCTTTCCCAGTGGGCTCGTCATCCAGCACAATGAGGGATGCATAATATGGGGAGATGGCCAAGAAGTCGATGATGTTCAGAGGACCTTTGAAAAACTGACATTTGCTCTTGGCCTGGATGAATCGGAGGCAGAACTCCAGGGAGAACCAAGCCACGCAGATGGTCTCAATGATGAAGATGTAATAGCACTTTTGGGAACATTCGCCCTGCATACGGAAGGGGACAAGAAAGAGGTCAGAATGAATGGACGTCTCTCTCCGTTAAAAAAAATAAATCAGAAAAATACAACAGAGGCTGTAATGTACACCGTGTGTGTTACCCAGTCCTAGTGATGAGGGAGAAGTTTTGTTTGCATTTTAATGAGAAGCTATCTCATTCACATTTCTTGAACCAATGTGCAACCCAGAAAACATAGATATCCTTTGAAATTCACACTTCTCTGAATTTTATGGCACAGTTCTTCAACACAACAATGTGTGCAAAAATACATTATATTAGAGGGGAATGTGTATATAATGTCAGTTCCTAGGGCTCCCCAATTCCCAGGGCTCCCAAGACTCAGAGTAGATAAAAAACATCTCTTGATCTCATGACGCACCCTCCTACCAGCCATCTGCTACATTTGGATCTTTACATGACTCTCCTTCTGGGAAAATGCCTGCATATAAAAGGGATATAGGAACAACCTATTTTACCTTGTTATTATTTATTATAGATTTATTAGGCCACCAGTTCAGCAGCTTCCCATGTGCTGTGATCCCTGCCACTTCCTATGAGTCTCAGTAGCCACCATTGCTCATACAACCCACAATCTGACAGCGCTTTATATATATATATATATTGGATGTTTTATTTCTATTAGTTGTGGATGCTGATGTGGCCCTTGTCTTTAAGGCAATGAAGTTGTGATGCATGCACGTAATACAGAAATAATTTTCAAAAGGTGCAAGTGGCTGAATGATTTATGGAAGGCACTTTGTGACTAACCAATGTTTGTAACTGACCAGCTAATTGGGTGAAGTTGCAAACCCATTGAATCCAGCTTCTAACAAGAGGTGGCTTGTGAAAATTCCTTTCCTAGAAGAAAGGCGGGTGGGGGAGGAACCTTCTACCATTTAGGCATTTTGTATCTGCCTTGTCCTCAACCCTCTTACAAGCGAGAGCTGCTCAAATCCCCTGACTGCATTGCTGCCATGAGGATTGCTGAGTCACTTTTCCTGCATTGCTGCTTTTGTTTGAATATTTAAGCCCAGGCTCTAGTTAAATCAAACTGCCCAAGGTGAGAACTTGAGAACAGAAATGGAAAAAATTAAGTACCTCCAATAGGTCACTTTGGCCTTTGAATATGTGGTCATAAGCCAATATCATTTAACCACAAAGGCTTTTGTGGGCAACCCTGAATCCCTCCTCTTCATTGAATAATGAATCTGGATATGCTCAGAGAGAATTCTAACATTTCCTTATGGATCACTGAGAAGGTATTGTTCAGTCATACCATTTAACAGCAAAGGTTATTCAACAGCGCTGTGCCAAAAATGTCTCCTGCAGCCCCCCCCCCCCCCGCACTGGTCTCCATCAAGTTAATGAGAAAAGAAATTGCATTTGGAAATTATCAATGGGGAGAGAACATTTTGGTGAAATTCTCAAGGATAGGGGGGGTTCTCTTTGTGTGTGTGTGCATTCATGTTCGTGTATATGTGCACTGACCTTACTTTTGAGGTGGTCAGGTGGTGCCTGTGAGCGTCCTCTCTCTCTTGTTCTACAAATCATTGCACCAGGGTTTTTTGCTCTGCAATCTTCCCTGGTTCCTTCACTTTCAATCAAAGCCCACAAGAAGGCATCGTAAAGGAGCTCCTTTCACAGGGCTTTTTCAGATCAGGAAGTGTGGGAAGCTGGGAAGGGTGCAGAGCACTGGGGAAATGGGTAGAAATGGGATGAAAGAAAACACACTCACACATACCACCCTTGCCCATCTTGAGGTTCTAAAGAAACTTAAGAGAATGAGGCAGACAAATGGAAGCCTCTTTTATAGATGAAAACCTCTGAGAAATGGGTGTTACAGATTTCAGCATAGCACTATTATACAACTGCCTCCTCCAAAGAATGTGTGGCTATGAATTTGAAGTGGTACTAGCTCATATATATATATATATATATATATATATATATATGAAATGCACTTAAGGGAAAACAATATTCTGAGCACTCTTCAGTGGGCATTTTTAGGTGGCGGCAGTGATAGAGATATGAGTAAGTAGGTAAAGCCAGAAGAGCAAATATTTCATAGATACATGAGAGACCTTGTTGTGTAGCAACTAGCATGCTTGACTAAGACCAGATAGACTTGGCTTCAAATCCCCACATTACCAGGACACCTGCTAGATGATCATGGACCAGTCAATGTCTCTCTAAGACTAGTGCAGTGGTACCTCGGGTTACATACACTTCAGGTTACATACGCTTCAGGTTACAGACTCCGCTAACCCAGAAATAGTACCTCGGGTTAAGAACTTTGCTTCGGAGTGAGAGCAGAAATCGCGTGGCGGCAGTGCGGCAGCAACGGGAGGCCCCATTAGCTAAAGTGGTGCTTCAGGTTAAGAACAGTTTCAGGTTAAGAACGGACCTCCGAAACGAATTAAGTATGTAACCAGAGGTACCACTGTAACAAGTCCACCTTACAGGACTGTTGGCTAAAGTCCAAAGGACTATGTGCGCTGCCCCGAGATCCTTGGATAAACAATAGGATGAAACTTCAGCTCACGGTTCTGCAACGAGACGGTCAGCAGTGCTATACATCACTGACAGCAAGCACCCAATGATGCTCACCTGGAATGCAATCCCTGAGCAATACAGTAGTCAGCAGTCTCAATACAGATGTGTTCCTGACCTTGATAACTACCCTCTGAACATACAACAAATGTCATTTGTAGGCAGGGAAGAAAGGGTTTGGTTTTGAAACTTAACAAGTATCTTCCTCCCCAACCCCGTTCACCAAGACTGTTTTGGAAGGCTCTTCCAGAATTTCACAGGTTTTGTAATAGCAGCACATGCTAAGATCCAAAAAAAATAATGGCTGATGGAGAATTGGCATGGCACCAGCCAATATGTTACTAAATGGTGATTACAGGAGCAGGATGAGACTTGATGGTTTAACCATCTGTGACCAAAGATAGTAGAGAGGCAAAATCGACTTTCCATTCATTTTATGGTCTCATCCTCATGTACAAGCTGGAATGTGTACAGAGAAGGGCAACCAAAATGATCAAGGGTCTGGAAATCAAGCCTTATGAGGAATGGTTGAAGGCACTGAGTATGTTTAGCCTGTTAAAGAGGAGACTGAGAGGAGATTTGATAGCCATCTTCAAATATCTAAGGGGCTGCCACATGGAGGATGGAGAAAACTTATTATCTCCTGCTCCAGAGGCTGGAACCTCCACCAATCCCACCTAAAGATCCAATTCCCTCAACCATTCCTCAAACAGAATAAAATAGAGAAGCCATAACAATACAACCATTAGTAACTGTGTCATGGTATAAAATTCCAGATATAGAAAGCACAATTATAAGTTTGCTTAAATTAGTCCCCAGTGCAGCATCACAATATTTAGCCACCCTGGAAGAGGTGGAAGCTTTCTGATCTGAAAGGAGTAAAAAGGCATAAAACACATCCAATCATCCTGGGACTCCCGTAAAAGGGATTCAGAAGAATCTTACGTACGTTGTAATAAAAGGAACAGTAAATAAGAACCAGATATATTGGTTCTACCTCTCCAGATTCACAGGGGCATTTACATTGACAAGAGGATATTTTTTGGAACCTCCCCTCCAGAAGTACTGATGGAAGAACATTTAAATGCACCAAAGTAAAGGCATGCTGGAGAGCCACTGCCAGTCAATGTAGTTAATAGTGATCTAGATGGACAAATTGGTCTGACTTGCGATAAAGCAGTTTAGGAACATAAGAACAGGTCCTTCCCATTAAGGCTTCTGGTTGGCCACTGTGAGACCACGATACTGGACTTGATGTGTCTTTGGTCTGATCCTGCGGGACTCTGCTTATGTTCTTAAAACCTTGCTGTGGCAAATTTCAACTCCCAATAAGCAGTGAAATGGGGTCTTTGGTTGTTTCATTTGGGATGCATTCCAGTCAGAGGACCAAGGGATGGTGCTAAACCATTTCCTCTGTGCTATTTTCCCCTCTCCCTTAGTTGCCCCATTAAGGGAAACTTATGTGTACTACAGTTAATCCAATGATGGTCTCAGTGCAAACAATCAAAGATAAGTGTTTTGATCTTAAAAGTAATGTGCTGTTTCTGATGATTTTCCTATGGTGGTGATGGTGATGATGATGATGATGAATCATTCCTCTTCTCTCTCATTTTTAAATTACCCTGTGCATTTGGGATAACAACCCAGAAATATTATGCGTGGGTGGGAATGCTGGGGGAGAGGCAAAGCACAGTGCTAAAGCCCCTGGATTAAAGGGATTCTGACCTGCTCAACAAATTGACCCATGGCACTGTTCAAATATCCTGGGTGCTTGTTTGCACTTTTCCCTTTTATAAAAGATAGTTATTTGCTGCTTCCACAGCAGAAGACATGTTGCAGACAGCTTGCTTAGTTTTAAACCCTCCCACCACCACCCCTGAAAAGAATCAGACCTAAGGCATATGTGTTTGCATTGAAAAACAGCCTTATTACAACCTATTTTTTTTGTGAGGAGAGAATTAAAAGACTGAATAGTGGGTGGTGGGGATTTAGGTTCAGGAGCTCTGGGTCTTCCCTCCCTCAGTCTGAAAAGAAAAGCTGCACACCCAATGAAACTTGTGCTTCTGTGCAAACTTAATCTGATGGTGCAAGTTGTTATGCAGCATGGAAATTTGATTGCTTAGTCACCATATGATTAACCAGCTTTAAAAAAAAACAACAAACAGAATCACACAAACAATCAGTTCACAGCCCTAAAGTGAAGTGTATTAACATCTCATTTGATGCATTCTGGGGTTAAGGCCTGACATTTGAAATAAGTTCCGTCCTGATGCTCTGGGGAGGTCTGGCACAAGTGAAGCCATTTTCTTAGCTCTTGCCACTGAACTTAACTCATGTAAGAATATAAGAAGAGCCCTGCTAGATCAGAGGAGAAGCCCATCTAGTCCAGCACTGTCCTTCCTGCAGCTGGCAACCACATAATTTGCGTAAGCCCACTAGCAGAACATGAAGGTAAAAGCCACTCCCTAGGTCAGAGGTTTTCAACCTTTTGGGTCCCCGGTTCCCTTGACCAGCTACAGTCATTCTGCAGCACCTCTGTGGGGCTCAGGAGCCCAGTTATGTCACCCCTTGCCTGCAGAGCTGGCAGTCTCTCATCCCTTTTCGAACAGCCTCCCTTGTGGAGTATTTCCTCAGCCTCCTCTCCTCTGCCCTCTCCTTGGGTGTTCTCTGGGCAGCTGCTGCTGCCATCCCAGGTCTCTGAGCTGCCCCCCCCCCGCACCCAAAGACAGGTGCTCCCTCACACTGCCCCATAAGGGCCTGGAAAGCACCCCCTGGCTAGCCCCAGAGACACCCAATGGCTGGGGAGCTTGTAGATGGGGCTGTTGCAACAAACAGCTATGCAAGCCTTTAAGAAGCAGAGATGCAAGAGGCTGCATCAGAGGATGGAGGAAAGGAAAGAGGGACAGAGACCAATGTTGCCCATGGCACCCCTGACCACCATTCAAAGCACTCCAGGGTGCCACAACACACTGGTTGAAAACCACTTCCCTAGGCTGTTTCCCAGCCTCTGCTATTCAGAGATATACCATTACAAGTAACAGACAGATAATTGTCACCCAGTTCTTTGAAAACCAGCCTTCCCTGCCTCTGCTCCGCAGTTTTCACAGAGAAATGCCAAACTCCATTGCAGGCCATTGGTGCAGTTGCATGCAGCATCCCTTTGAATGACTTGTCATGCAATCAAGCAGCCTTTTTTCTGTTTCACACCTCCCACAGTGCGCTAAAATGTGGAAACAGTTGTACTGGTTGTACCGCATGATGCATAGTAAAAGCGGGGAGAAGTAAATTAATGACATATACAGTGAAGCTATGTTCTCCTTTATTTTGTTTTTGCTTAGACAGTCATCCCTAAGCCCCACCACAATGGGCAGATATTAATCCTACACATGTTTACTCTGGACAAGTACTCTGCCTGAGTTCCACGAGGCTTTCCACCTCTTGGGCTGATCTGACATGGGCTACAAAACAGCATACATTGGCCATAAACTGACATGCCTCATTTGTCCCTAGGATGTCACAAGCTAGCTAGGCATCTAGCTGATCTGAATCATATGCTAGGAAAAAGCTTTGCAAAGGATTTCTGTGCCTCTTTGGTGTTATAATTCATCTTTAGAGCAGTGCACAGATTTCAGCCTCATTGAGTTCACGATTAGTTGCTTTACTGAGTCAGACCTCCGGTTCACCGAAGCTCAGCATTTTACAGCCTAAGGGCCACATTTCCTTCTGAGCAGCCTTCCAGGGGCCACATGCCAGGAGCGGGGCTACCCACTTTTTGCCTTGGCTCTCCTCTGCAGGATGCCACCCCCCGAAGGTTGCCCACAAAGTAATGCAACTGCAGTGCTGAAAAATGTTCCCCACTCCAGCTTTAGAGGGGGAGGACTTCCTGACAGTATGAGCTATTTGACAGTGGAATAAACTGTCTCAAAAGGTGATGGACTCTCCTTCATTTGCGGTTTTTTAATCAGAGGCTGGAAGGCCATCCAGCAGGCTTGTTGTAGCAAGGGATTCCCTGCATCAGCACGGGATAGATGATGACCTTGAGGTTCTTTTATGATTCTCCAATTCAAACACACAAAGCGACTGAAGGCTGGCAAAAAGAAGCAGGGTGTTTTTAAACCAGCTTTCTAGAGTTCTTTGTGAAGTACAGTTTCTAGCTTTTGAACCTTAGCTCAGTGGTTGAGCATCTGCTTTGCATGCAGGAGGTCCCGGGTTCAATCCCTAGCAGCATCTCCTGCTAGAGCTGGGAGAGTTCCCTAGCTGAAACCCTAGAGAGTCACTGCCAGTCAGTGTGGGCCCAGCTGTGCTAGAGAGAACAGTGGTGTAAGGCAGCTTCCAAGGTGTCTATGAACCAGCTGCTACAGCACTGCCTTCAACCATTATTTGATCTGAGGACATTAGGAAGTGATGTTGCTTTTCTCTGCGTCATGAAATTTCCCAAAAGTTGCATCTTAGGCTGCTCTTAACTAGCCCTGGTCTTGTGCTTTTGTGGGGTTGGAGAGTGTTTGTGAACAGCTGGCTACCTGAGGAAGGTGATTCTGATTTGCTTTTCTGTGGTTTTAAGTACAGGTTGGTGCAATGGGAGTGGGATATTAACTATTCTGCATTAATTCACATGATGCAGCAATACTGTGATTGCGCATAGGTGGCAGCTCATTTTCTCCTCTCTCTTTATCACCAGTTTTGTGCATTTGACACAGATATTATTTTGCATGCCTTGTAGGAAGAAGGTGTAGATATCTTTATGTTCACATCTTTATAAACACTGTTTTGGTGGTAGTGGTGGTGTCAGTGTGGTTATTTTGATACACATTGCACCAATGTATTCTTGCATCAATGATGACTTCAGTGTATCTCATAAGATTGCTCTCTCCAGGTACCTTAAAGGCAGATAGTGAGGGTCAGAATTCTTCTTATTATTACTTCTACTCCTCTGCTGCTGTTACTACCACTAAAGTCCATTTCAAAATACTCAAGTGATAAACAGAGAGACCAGATTCTTTGTTAGGAAACAGTGAGGATAGTGAACTAATGGCCTTCCAGTTGTTGTTGGACTACAATTCTCATCATCCCTGCCCCTTGGACATGCTGGTTGCAGGCTGATGGGAGCTGAAGCCCAACAACTGCTGGATTTTCACAGATTCTCCATGGTGTAAGTTTGTGTGCCAAAGTGAAACCACTGCACCACATAGGTATGTTTAGAGAACCTTGTGGGCATTCCTTGCTCAGCCTCCCAGAAAGCCTCCATAATACTAACTTCTCAGCAAATGTGCTTTGGATCAAACTGAAAAAACAACACTGATTTAACTACAAAGAATATTCTGGCACTTTAAAAGGCAAAGGTTGCATTCCTAAACATGCTTTCCTGGGAGTAGGTGCATTGAACTAGGGTTGCCATATTGTGGGCAAAGTTGTTGAGCTTTTGTTTTCAGGGAGGGGGGCAAAGTTGTTGTGGAGCTTTCCCCCCCCCCCCAAAGTTGTTTCCAACAGCCAATTGCTGGCTATGTCTGGGCCTGGCAACCCTAACTGAACAAAAAGGGACTTACGTCTGAGTAAACATATGCTGTTCTGTAAGAAAGAAAGAAAGATTGTGCCAAAATTTTAATTGGCTTTCCTTAGGGTTTTTTTATTTTAAAAATACTTTTTTGCAGAAAATATTAGTGAATGCTAATGGCTTTAAAAGAATCAATGTAACAATAAATACAGTTGGAGGGAACGACAGTCAACTGTAGCCTTTTTCATTCCTTTTAGTACAAAGAACATGCATTTTTCGAGATTGTTTTCTAAAAAAATAAATGGCAATATCGCCATTAGTGAATGGACTGGCTTCCTTTCCATTTAACATGTATTTGCAAACAAACAATCAAATGCAAAACCAATAATTGCTTAAGGCATCCACAAGCCCTGTCTAAGGAATCTTGCCCAATCTCAGTGGCTTGACGGATTTATTGGTGATGAAAGGGCACCCTATACGTACTCAGAGGCACTGTTGTGTGAATATAGATTTGTTCTCCAAGGAGTGGTTTATAAGTTTGGTAGTTCTATTCTGTGTTCCTGTACAATTCAAATGGTGTCTGTGAAAAGGTGTTTAGCAGAGGCAGGAATGATTTCCTTCCCCACCAGCCAGTTAGAATATGCAAAAGTGTTACTCTCTCATTTCACAGTTTCTGAGCTTGCTCCGAACTGAGCTTACTAGCAACCTTCATTTCAAATTAAACCCTGTTGCCAATCCGGGAAAGTTGAACCACTCATTCTAACATACATTGATGAACCATTTGATTATTTCTCCCCTGGACCACCTCATTCCCCCACCCCCTAGAAAAACTAGATTTGTCTTCATGCTGGGCATAATTCTGCCTACACACACACACTTCCACACTTAGGAGCCACTCTTGACAGATAGAGCAGTTTCCCAAGAAGTACTTTACCACAGCAAACACATAAAATTAGCAGAGTACCAGCCTGGTGCAGCGGCTAGAGTGTTGACCCAGGATCAAGAGACCTGTGTTTGTTCATTTGCTTGTTTTTGTATTTATATCCCACCTTCTCACAACCTTTTAAGGCAGGTTAGAGTGAGAGTTGGTGAGTGGCCCAAGGTGACTCAGTGAAAAAAGAAGCAGGGAACCCAGTCACCTAGAGAAATCCCCTACCCCCATATATGTAGCTATATGCAAGTGGAGCATGCTACCACAGTGCCCCTCCCCATCCATATGCATATTCATCAGACACAGCATTATACACACATGGGGACAGTTGAACCTGTGTGCATAGGCAACAAGTGTACAACACCCAAAAGCAAAAGAGAGGAAAATGCATGAGTGAATTAGTCCAAACATAGGCATGCAGTGTTGGTTGCAGAATATCATGATGTAACATAGGTCTGCAGATGTAATATAACTAGTGATGTTTATGGTAATAGGAACAGAAGAAGAGCCCTGCTGGATCAGGCCAAAGGCCCTTCTAGTCCAGCATCCTGCTCTCGCAGTGGCCAGACAGATGCCTGCAGGAAACCCGCAAACAGGATCTGAACACAAGAGCACACTCTCATCCTGTGGTTTCCAGCAACCGGCACGCAGAAGCATTACTCCCTCTGTCCATGGAGACATAATAGAAACTAGTGGCCATTGATAGCTTCATTCCTCCATTAATTTGTCCAGTCCTCTTTAAAAGCCATCCAAGTTGATGGGCATCACTCCCTTCTGTGCGAGGGAGTTCTATGCATTGCCCAGAAGCAGGGTGGTAGGAACACAGGAACCGACTTTGGTCCATATAGCTCAGTACTGCCTACACTGGCCAGAAGCAGCTCTTGTGGTTCCAAGCAGGGGCCTCTCCCTGCCATACCTGGAAATGGAAAGAAATGAAACTGCATGCAAAGCCGATACTCTACCACTGAGCTATGATCCTTCTGAGTGGAATGACACTTTCCCCACTTATGAAACCCAAGAACTCCCAGCATCTGCCTGTGACAGTGGAAGGAGAGCATAAATACAAAACAGGGGCTTACTCACCCTGTCTTCTTCTTCCCTTAAGTCCGGCATGGTGCTGACACAAAGGCTTATCGCTGTGGTGGCCACAAAGAGGATGGAGAGGCAAGCAAAGATTTTCCCCGGGAGGCCTGACCGGGGGTTTTCCACCATGTCCCTCAGCTTGCTCATAAACTGGCCGAATTTGGTCTCCTCTTCCAGGACGCAGGCTGTCACTTTGCTCATCTGCATCTCCTCCTCTCTGCGCACCTCGGCCAGCTCCTCAGCCTTCTGGAAGAGCTTCCGGAAGCAGCAGTTCTCCAAGTTGGACTCCTCGATCCCCCAGTACTTCAGTTCCTCCTGAAAGGACAAGGCACAGGTGTCGTGGAGGAGCATCAGTTTCCCTGCCGTGAGGAAGCTGACAATCACCCCAAAAACGTTGGGGTTCCGGTCGAAGAAAAACTCTTGCGTGTCTTCATCATAGTCATCACACAGCTGGATTATCTCTTCGTAGCTGCTGCAGAACTTCAGCTTGCTCAGCCGGGATGCGGGGAACTCGTCCAAGGTGCTCCAGGGCAACAGGTACTTGATGCCGCCAACGTTGACCATGATCTCCCTCTTCAGATCGACTGTCCCGAGCCGATCTGGGTGGTAAATCCTCTGGGCCCGTTGGTAGTGGACCCCTTTGGCGGGGGGAGTCTCGACCACTGAGATGGGAAACAGGTGGTTCAAGGACGTGCAGGAATTGTAGCTGTAGTCGTGGTCACTGCCTCCAGAGAGAATAGGCATCTCTGAGGGTTGTCACTGGAGCTCCAGCACAGAAGCAGCATTAGAGCCAAGCTGGCTAGGGAGGTGGAAATGGGAGGGAAAACAGAGACAGTATCATGACCATTGTGAGATGAGGAACACAATAACATAAGAAGAGCCCTGCTGGATCAGGCTAATAGCCCATCTAGTCCAGCATCCTGTTCACCCAGGTTTCTGTGAACAACTTATAAGCAGGACCCAAGCACAAGAGCACTATCCACTCCTATGATTTCCAGCAACTTATATTCAGAGGCATACTGCCTCCGACAACAGAAGCACAACATAGCTATTGTACTAGCAGCCCCAATTTGTCCAATCTTCTGTTAAAACTACCCTAGCTAGTGGCCATCTTTTCCTCCTGTTGAAATCAGTTCCACAGTTTGGCTATGTGCTTCATGAGCAAAAGCATCTGTCTCTCCTAACCAGTTGTTGTTGTTGGAATGTTAATAACAGCTTTCTTTTCAACAAGAAATGCCAGGACAGTTTGCAAACAAATAAAATCCAACAACAAAATACCCCTTTATTTACAAGGAGGGATTGGGGATCTCAGGCCCTGCTGGGCCTCTCTATCAGGCCCTCGGGACTCTCCATAGACCACACACGAGCCATACCCTCTCACTAGCCTGGCTTTACAGCCTCAAGTGCTTTTGTCTGGCTGGAGTGTGTCCTCTGGCAATTCTTCTTACTTGCCTGGACGGAGGATAGAGAGGGATATGTGGGTGTGTCCAGAAACTAGCCTTCTGCACTGAGGTAAATTTCACATCCATTGCTCCACCCACTTTTGCCTTTGGCTCCACCCACCTCTGGCATGTAGCCCTTGGGAGGTTGCCCAGAAGCTACCTTCAGAATGCAGGGAATGCATCCCTCAGGCTGAAAAAGGTCCCACACCCTTTGTTTATGGCACACCTTAGCTGTTTCTGCTGACACATTCTAGTTTTTTTTTATAAAAAAGAGGGGTAGCCACTGGATTCAATCAAAGCTCATTCCTGGGAAAACTTGATGTATAACCTTCAAATCTGCTTATATATTGAAGTCCTCCTCAATAACACCCTGGTGGAGAAGCCACTCCTGTAGTGCGAACAGAAGTGTTGCAGTGCCCTGCTGGGATCAAGCCCAAAGTCTTGCCTGGGTCCAGGATATAGACAAGCTGGAATGTGTGCAATGGAGGAGAACCAAGATGGCAAAGGGTCTGGAAACCGAGGCTTATGAGGAATGGCTGAGGAAGCTGGGGATGTTTAACCTGGAGGAGAGAAGGCTGACAGGTGATATGATAGCCATCTTCAAACATCTGAAGGGCTGTCCCATGGAAGATGGAGCAAGCTTGTCTTCTGCTGCTCTAGAGGGAAGGACCCGAACCAAAGGGTTCAAATTACAAGAAAGGAGAGTCTGATTAAACATTAGGATGACCTTTTTGATGGTATGAGCTATTTGACAACGGAATAGACTACCTTAGAAGGTGGTAGACTCTCCTTCCATCTGCCTGGAAGGCCATCTGCCAGGAATTCTTTAGTTGTGATTCCTGTATTGCAAGGGGTTGGAATAAATGACCCCTGAGGTCCCTTCCAACTTTACAATCCTGTACTTTCCAGCAGAGACCAGTGAGATGCCTCCAGCAGGACATGCAGGTGATGTCTTCTTCTTTGGCTTGACCTCATCCTTTCGTATTCAGAGACACGGTGCCTCTGGATGTGAAAGTTCTATTTAACTATCAAACCCAAAAGCTTTTGGCTGACCAACTCATCCTGAGTTTGTCTAATCCTAATAAAATAAAATGAATCTAAGCACTTCCCCTCCCCCACCTCACTAGATCCCTATTCCATAAGTTAATCATGTTTATATGGGCAGGATTTATTTTTGCCTGCCCTGAATCTGCTGCAAATCAACTTCATTGTATGATGACATTTCAGCAAGAAATCCTTCTAGGTAGTACAGCGGTACCTAGGATACTCTCAGGGATTAATTAACATGATGGCAGTTTGTCTGTCCTAAGAGAACAGGCGGCAATGCTTACAAAGGCTGTCCATCTTAGCTGGAAGTTCTAAATGTTGCTCTTCTGTTGATGATGTTTTAAAGTTATACACATTTGCACACCCCCAAAAGAGAGAGAAGCAGAAATGGCAATAACATATAAGTGAATAACTTCTCAAGGGTTTGACAAGTGTCTAACAGGATTCCCTTGAACATCCACAGACTGGTTCCATTTCACATTCACAGGGAGTCCAGAAGCTTCCTCTATACTGGGTCAGACCATTTGTCCATCTAGCTCAGTACTGTTGACACTGACTGGCAGCTGCTTTCCAGGATTTCAGTCCAGAAGGTCCCCACTGCAGCTCTACTTGGAGATGCCAGAGATTGAACATGGGACCTTCTGCATGCAAAGCAGATGCTCTGTCACTGAGCTACAACATGCCCTTTCCACATTTTACCATGGATGCAACAAAAGCAAACAGAAAATCAGAGAAGCCTGAAGTTTTACAGTTGGTGAGCTGCTGTGAATCATGAAAAGCATAGGAGGAAGCTGAAAGTTAGCATATGTCCCCCCACCATAAGCTGAAACAACAACGATGTATGCATTTGATTTCTTCACACAAATTATCTTATAACCTTTACAACAGCCCTGTAAGGTAGACCAAATATCAATATCCCCATATTGCAGACTGTGGGGCTGAGGTTGGTGTTCATCCTCTCCTTTTCACAGACACCGCCTGCCGCTGGAATTCCGTCTCATTATTGCTAAATACACACACGTCCCCCCTCCCCTTCAAGTAGACATCGCACGAAACCAATTACACATACAATGCTGAGAAGCAAACCCCTTTGTAGAGGTTTGGAGCTGATGGGGAGTAAGCATAAAACCCCTCCAGTCTTATTCCTCTCTGCCTCCGGCTTGCCATCCATCCCGGCGCAGGCTGACAGCATTCCAGAACGAAGTTTCGCAAAGTTACTTACTGCGCTAAACACGGGCTGTGTCCGGGTCAACTGTCTCCCCAGCAGCAAGAGAAGAACACATTGCGAGGAATTGTTGCCATTCCTGGGTGATGGAGAAGTATCAAAGCACATTTGTTGCCCTGGTTCCATGGATGTAATAAAATTGCTCTTGGCCAGCATTTGCTTCTTGATATTCTCTCTCTCCTTTATAGACTGACTCCCTCACTCAAAGACCCTTTCAAAGACTTGGAAGGCATCCCTGAATCTTCTTGGGCAACTGAAAAGAGAGACAAAGTCTGTATTCTCCCTCTCTCCGCTTTTCCTCCCTGGAGGGCTGTCAGTGTGGTCCTCCTGACAGAAGGAGGAGGGAGGGAAGAGGGAAGGGCTTAGACATAATCTCTCCCTTGTTCTCTCTTTCCAGCATCCTCCAGCCCTTCATCCTTAGAGCAGACTGCAGGGCATACCAGCAATTCAGCAGCAGGCTGGAGTGGAAGCAGAGAGACCCAACAAATGCTCAATAATAAATTGATGCTGACAAAGACAGTTCTCCATAACACTTGCCAGTGTTTTTATTCTCTCCCTGTTTTTTGACTTTGGAGGCAGCAATTGTATTGTTTCAGGGTGTTTCCCCACACACCCCAGAAACAGCTTCCTTTCAGGTGTTGAGTTCTGAAAGTTCCAGGCTTCTAAAAAAGCACTTTACTATTCCACATAAGATTTAATAGGGCATGTGCACAGGGTAAGTTTGCTGTTGTGATAGTGGTTTGGGGTGTGTGGGTGTGTGCCAGGGTGATGGATCCAGCCAGTCATCTCACTATGGGGAAGAAGGCTCCTTCCCCTTATGTAATAACCTGCTGACAAAAGGTTTGGGACATCTCCATGAGTGATGGAGCTTGTAGGGGGTTGCACAACAGCTGTTCCTGACTCTGCATTTACATCAAGACTCTTGTATACACACAGAGCCAATGGATGATTTAGAATATTAATATGAATTGCACATAGTATGTATGCAATGAACTTGTGTAATTTCAAACTTGTTTGGTTGAAAGCTGGCTGGTTGAAATCTCACAAATTAACTGTACGCAAGGTGGATAGCTCTAATGTGTTGGGTTTTCCTGGTGCAGAAACACATTTTTGCGTATTCGCACCACCCCCAGAACAGAACCCCTGTGGAAGACATGATCATACTGTATATATATTTGATCTCCCACAAAAATTACTAGCCTGCTGGAGTCTGGCAGAGGAATGATGGCGTTATCTGCTGCTTCTGCAACAGCTTGGTGTTCTGGATATGGTGGAGAGGACTTCCCCCATCTGGCTGCCTTCTTTGTTTCCATGCCAGGTGCAGAAGAGGGACAGAATGCTCCATCCTTCCTGCAACAGTCGGCCCAATTGCCTTTAAGGAATTCCTTGTCGCCTATGGCAACCGGGCATATCCTTACAGTGTATTTTGTGTATACACACGCACTAGCTGCCAACAATCCTTCCCACTCTCACAGCTTTCTGTCACATTCCAGTGCATGGGTAGGGAATCTCAGGCTCAGGGATTACATGTGGCCCTCCGGGGTGCTCCATCTGGCCCTCAGGAGTCTTCCCAGACTACACTCCCTCACTGCATCTGCTTTCAACCTCAAGAGTTTTTGCCTGACTGGACTGTTCTTGAACTGTGATAGTGTTTCTTGTTTGCATGAATGGAGGATAGAGAGGGGGTCGGTGTGTGCGCGCACGCAGAAACTAGCCTACTGTATAAAGGTCACTTTTTCATCCATTGTGCCACCTACTTTTGTCTCTGGCCTCTCCCAACACTGGCATGTGGCCCCTGGAAGGTGGCCTGGAAGAGTTTGAGGCCCTTGGGCTGATCATGGTTCCCTATCCTTGGTCTAGTATGATCCAGGCTCCTTGCATACTGGAACTTTTGAGTTATTTAGTTACATTTATATCCTGTCTTTCTTTCACCATGGAATTCAAGCTGGCATACATAGAATCATAGAATGGGAAGGGACCCTCAAAGGTCATCTGATCTAAACCCCTACAATTGAGGAATCACAGCTAAA